TTTTTTATTTAAACAAACCTGCTGATTGCTGATTGTTACCCATAATATCATCAGGAGGATCTACAGTATCACACACCCTTTCATAGCTTTACTGATTTGTATTAGATCAATATTGTCAAATATAATATACAGTATGCTGGTAAAAGTGAATCTTCTATCTTCCTAATCTAGACAGTAGCCATCTGTGTTATGGCATATTTGTGTCACAAATTGTCACCACATCAACACTAAAGAAGAGATTACCTATGGTTTAATCTTGAGTATTGCAGTATTTGTTTTACTTGTCCTTACCGTCCCCATCTAGCAGACTGTGTGTGTAGTGATCTGGATCCCAAACATTGTCCTCGTGTAATAAGAGGATGATTGTCTGAGTTTAGTGTGATGTTTGAATGCAAGATTGCATCTCTCTCTCTGTCCATGGAACCCAACATTGTGGCACCATTTGGCAGAGGTTTACGTCCAAAGCTCTTTTGCGGAAGCTACCCACAGTCAGCTCAAGGACTGGTCTCAGTAGAAATCAAACCCTCAACTCCAGCAGCAGAACCGTCATTGGCTTCACAGGGTCACAATGTCTCGCTGCATTTTCAAGTTCACAGCCACTCTAAATCTGCTGTCCACAGCTTTGAATTTGTTCCACACAAACAAACTCCTCACATCTGCGGGTCACTGCTTAACTTGAAGCCGAAAAACGAAAGGCAAAGTAAACTGATCAGCCATGATGAAGAATACAAAGCATAAATTGTAATTCCTCTCAAGATAATGTGCTGCTCTGTAAATTCCTAAAATTGCCGTGTAAAGATAAGATTTGGTTAGCATTGTACTTTGAACTATTTGTAAATTAAAATACTATTATTTTGAGATTGGTAATATGGGTTGCCCTCTCTGAATCCTTATAGTGGTTTACATACCTGTTTATATTTCAGACTGTAGGGTGTTTTTGAGCATCACCTTCTACCAGTCTAAGCTTAACCAACCATATGACCTTGCCCTTTTGTCAGGCTACACCAGGTGCATCTCTTCTGTGTGTGCGCATTGTGCTATTATGCAAGTGTGTGTGCTATTTGTGTTCAGTGAGAGAGTATATCCTTCAGTGATCGATTTTGAAAAGTGCAGTAATGCATTTTAAAAGGCTGCTCAACACTAAAGCTGTCAGGGCAACAGGGAAAAGTTAGGAGCTCGGCCTGACCAGACAACAAACTGTCTAGGCCTGTCCTCTCCAAGGATTTTCCCTCGAAGCTCTGAATATCCTAATCTGGCCGTCCTGCTACAGTGAATATGATGTCCACAGGATAGATGCACACGGCCCGAAGGGTGATATGCTGCAGTGATTTGAGGATCTGTCAAGGACATGAACGGAACGTGTATAGTGTGTGACAAGCAACGGTTGACATTTTGTTAATATTGAACTTCACAAAGTCAAGCAAATCCACTATAGGGATTATGCTGCGTTTCTCGACTTGCTGCATGGATTGTTGCTCTGTGTTGTTTCTGTTTCAATAAGATGGAAAGTATGAGTATTGAAATGAACAGTATGCAGTGAAAGATAGTAGTTTGCAGTTTTGTCCCTGAGGTAATGCAAAGGTATACTTTTTTTTTAATAGGGACACACATACTCAGTATTGAACTAATTTAAATTCATTCATTAAAGCATCAATTACATTCAGTGTTTTTGTTTGTCATACCTTAGTGTAATACCTATATTGTGCTACTATATAATACTATACTATATTATATTATTATTTTACTATATTATTATATTATTGAGAGGTCAGAGTAGAATAGATACAGATTACCTCACTTTTTTTCTGTATGACATGTATAACATTTCAGAAATTTGTGGAGAAAGTTAACATTCCTCAACCCCATAAAGAGAATCAGGCCGCCCTTTGGCCCCATACTAAAGCTCCATGGCTGAATGAGATAAGGGAAATGCACAGGCGCTAATTATCTCTCTCCTTTACCTGTCTCAGCAGCTTACATCGCTTCACAACCAATAACTCTGCCCTTGATGCTTTAGAAGGCTGGCCCCTATCTCCTGAGGGTCTTTGTAGCACATGTCCGCGTGCAGATGGGAGCAGAGAGACAGATGATTATCATAAAGCTAAAGTTTTATCTTTGTCTGCCCTCATGAGCCTCTTGGATCATAGCCCTTCTCCGTGACATCGGCAGCAGCACCTCTGATAATAAAATGCAATGGAGTTTGTAAAGAGCTGCTGTGTGCTGCCAACAGACAGGTTACGAATCAGTGGAGAGGTTTATGATGACGAGACAGACATGGCCAAACCTGAGCGGACCCACACAGTCAAACGGAGCATACGAGGATACAAGGAAACTGTTATTTCAAAGCCCAGGAAATGGGCTTTGCAAATGTCACTGCAATAGCTTTCAAGTATAGCTGCAGAGATGGGCAAAATGCAGATAAATAAATTTTTTATCATTTCCTGTCCAAACAAATTGTGTTGTCTGCCATTATTCCATCAAAACATTTTAGTGCATCTGCCCTAAACTAGAATTAGCATATCAATTAGCATAAAGTGTGGTAATTTGTTTTGAAGGCAAGCTTTTGTTTGGCCTGGTTTAGTTACATTAGTCAACTCAAACATATTTTTTGCATCTTGTTTATCCAATAGAACATGCAGGTTAATTCTTATGAGACCATTGGTCTTTGTAAATCTCATTACTGCGTTGTCTTAAATTCTTAAACATGATTGTAGTGTAGTGATAATGTCCCTTTTTCTCATGCACACTTTCCCTTGTTTCCAATGCTCTCAATCACAGATGTGCAATTAATTACATTTTAACTGATTGAGATTCAGTGATTTGTAATTTCAATGATCAGCTTGGGTTATTTAAGCATAAGAGCCAGTCCTTTGTCTATAACAGTGTATATTTTTTAAGAAAACTTTAGACTTTGGAGGAAGAAATGTGATAATTTCTTGGGTCAAATGGCAATGATGAAACATCTGTATATTTAAGCATTCATAGTGAAAGCCATTTGTATTTGGTTTTTAATAAAGGTGAATAAAAATTGAGTTAGATTGGTCAGATTGGTTAGATTGATAATTCATACCATACAGCTGAAGTCAACAACATTCCCTGGGGGTGTGATGCTAACTGCAGGCTCTGCTCTGTCTAAAGATTTGTTCCTCAAGTTAGACTTTAATCTGGTCTTTATTTTAACACAATCTAACCATAAAGAACTGACTTAGCCAGAACTATAACAAGTGATCTGATTTGTGCTTTTAAACAAGTCTCTCACACATAAAATTACAAATGTGTTCAAATCCTTTTTTTTTTTTTTTTTTTTTTTTTTTTTTGGCAGTTATTGCTAATGTGTGCATTGTATCACCATGGTAACTGCTGAATTTTTCACTAATAGAAATACACTGCAGCATGACGTCACTGCAAAGTATCAATAGGATTTATTTTATTTTTTTTAAGTAAAAACAAGGTCCAGCCCTACTCTGAACATTTTTATCCCATTCTTTGTTTTTGCCGCGGCCAGTTTCAGCTCAGTTTGACCTCTTGAGTCCTCCGTGAGTGGCTGGACGGCTGCTTAAGCATTCAGCAAACAGCAGCATGTGCTCTAGCTCCCCCTCACTTTACTCAGAATTTTCCATAGATCCAGTGTCTCTATAAAAGTGGCCTCTCTGACAGATTGTTGATGAATCAGCCTCCATCTGGCTCTATGTGAAAGCCACTGTTGCTCATCTGAATGCACAACTCAACCCTTGTGCAGTTTATTATAATGTGAATAGATTCTTAATGGAAAAAGTTGACCTGTTTTGTATGTGTTTTCAATTCTAATTGAGGCAAAATATATATAAAGTGTATTAAAATATGACAAGCATTACAAGGTTTTCCATTTATGATTATATTTAGATTTCACAGTTTAAACTCATCCAGGATCGATCATTAACATTTTTAATATGAACTATCAAAGTATCTGCGTAATCCCTCAGTCGTCCAGGTATGTTCCATACTTTACTCAAGACCATTCTAAAGCTATTCAGGAAAGGTTCACTTCTGTGCTGTGAGTGTGGCTTTTTGAGTATCAGTACTTGCTCAAATATCTACCCAGTTTCAATACTAGTTTTAGTATTGGTTAATATCTGATTTTTAACAGCCCCTTTCAATAATAATTGACCTTTCAACCTTATTACAAAATGTAGCTACAAACTATGAAGTTCAGTTTGTTGTTTGTTGGCTTAAAGGATGTTTTGTGCTCTTTCTCTCTCATTTTTTAATCTATTTATATTCTAGTATTTGCATTTCCCAAATTTGCTATTCCTTTGTTGAATATCTATTTTGAATGTGTCTGTCTTCAGATGTTTGTTTTCTAAGCAGATCTGCATTTACATTTGGCTTGTATTGTTTGCTTGTTAGTAAGCAGTAAGAACCACCATAGCTTGTGTTCTTTCATGTTTTTGATTGGCATCTCAAGGCAAAACATCACTGTCTGCTACATTCTTCATCTCTCCGCTGCCGTGTAATCTGAAATCGGACACGCGTCTATTTTTCCACCATCACTCTTTATGTTTGTATCTACTCGTGTAATCTTTGTCTCCATCTCCTACGAGCATTTTACTTTTATTCTCTGGCATTCTGTTCAAAGTGAAATTGCCAGCTGTCTTCATAAATCAGTTCAGCAATGTCAGGCCCTGCCTGTCGCTAGTTTTTCTCTCTTTCTTTCTTGTTAAGTTCATGTCTGTAACTCACTGAAAAAGTACAAAATCTATTTCAACTAACTTGAGGTCACAACCCAAACCCTAACATTTTGATTTTAGTAGTGTGAGCATACTGTATACTCTTACTCCATTCACTGATATTTTTCATGAAATAATAAATGGATATGTTGAAACTAGTTTGAAATACTTTGAAAAAAGTCTACAAATTGACATACAAATGAATACAAAGTTTTTTTGTTTTTTTTTTTGTAGTGAGAATCTGTGCAACACCAGCATCTAAATGCATCTGTTTTCTTTGTTTTTGTATTTTAGGTTTTCAAGATGAAAGCGGTGCAGCTGGCGGAAAAGCTCATCCCTGCCTTTAACACTCCCACTGGAATCCCCTGGGCTATGGTCAACTTAAAGACGTCAGTATCTCGATGGACCCTTCATGTTGTAGTAAAAGCATAATGGGGCAAGCGCTTACTATAACTTAGTAACTTACAAATTAGCCAAATTTGACTTAACACTAGTAATTACTTCTTATCCCATACATTTAGACTACGTTCAGACGGCAGGTTAATGCTCAATTAGGATTTTTTGTGATATCCAATTTTTTTTGCAAGGTCGTTCACATTTCCAGTTAAATATGACTTGTATGTGATCTCCAGTGTGAACTTTAAACACCCCAAAAGTGTCCGGCGTGCGCATTGGAGGACACGAGGACTTCACATGCAGTAAGCGTGCTGAGTGTTTACAGAAGTAGCCTAAACATGGACACGAGCATTGAGCACGTGGAGATTTTAAAGTTGCTGTTGTACCAGAGCCTGAACAGCTTATTTGTTTTAAGGAGAAGGAGAAGGACGAGGTTTTTGGCCCTGGATTTTTGTGGGTCAGTGGCAGCAATGTCTGTAGAAAGGAACATGTGGTTGCGGAGTCGCAGCCAAGAGTGGTGGGATTGATATGTGCATCACTGTTTCACTGACACAGAATTCATACATAATTTTCATATGATGAGAAAAACATTTGTGTACATTTGTGAGTGCTTGTACTTCTTCCAGTTTCCGCCTACTTCAGCACAACATACTGACATTTGTAGATTGTTGATGACATGTAGGTGGGATGAATGCGATCTGGCCATTCAGAATGTCGCATGTCAAAAGATCGGATATGTATCAGTTTTAGGAGCACATATCCAAGTGGCTTGGGTCGTGTTTAAAAAAATCAGATCTGTGTCGTTCATACTGTCGCTGAAAGATTAGATACAGGTCACATAGGGGTGATTTGGGTCTCTTCATGCTGCTGTCTAAATATAGCCTCATTGATCTGGGAAGTTATTAATACAGACTTTTTATTAAGAAGAAGAAGATTTTTTTACACACAAAACTACTCATACTGGGTATCAGCAGATAGTTATAGTATTGGAATTGGTACTGAAAAAGCTGGATCCATACTTCCTACTTCACTACTACTTCTTATGTATTCTGAAACTTCAAATTCTCTCTAAACATAAAATACTGCTAATTGTGTATTTATGCATTCAATTACATTTAATGGTGTGCGCATATTTTAAACAGATTTATCATACTGATAAAGGTATCAAATTAGTTCCAGTCATGCAAATATTAGGTATATATACATATATATATATATATATATATATATATATATATATATATATTTTTTTTTTTTTTAGTACACAAATGTTTCAACTTTGTTCTTATCTCCCACTTAATTTCAATATTTGCCCTTCATTTTTGTGCTTGTTCCCATTTTCTCATAATTTTATGATTTAACATTTGCACATCATTATCAAATCAATGTGGCCTACTTCAGATTTCAGAGAGACATTGAACTATGTGTCATTCTAACCAAAGTTTTGATGTTTTAGTATTTGATATATAATTTTTGGTTGAGTAGTTGCTGAGTCAGCTGTGTCATGTAATTTTTGTCTGTGACTTGCATTGCTAATTTCCCTGTGTCTTTCTCTGCTCTTTGCTGGGTCTTCACTGGTGCTTGTGTCCAGTGGTGTTGGCCGTAACTGGGGCTGGGCCTCGGCTGGCAGCAGTATTCTGGCTGAGTTTGGGACTCTACACATGGAGTTTGTCCACCTCACCTACCTAACGGGCAACCCTGTGTACTACCAAAAGGTAATCATCTTTGATTACGCTAACTAATTACATAATCACATAATTGCGTAATAGTTCTACGTTCCATGCACTGTAAACTGCAATATTAATCTACTCCACAACTACTACTTAATAATAGAAACGGGTCATTTACGTTGCGCAACATCTTTAAACCCCATGTTTGACCTGGAGTCTTATGGTTTTTATTAAATTGCAGTGGTGGACACTCAAGCCTCAAATTTACTCTAACATTCATTCAAATCAAAATATAACTCTAACAATAGAAACCTTGTCATACATGTCGTACAAGTAGATTTTTTTATGTCTCCTCAAATGACCAGTCCATCTTTGTATCTTTCAATTACAGGTGATGCACATTCGTAAGCTGCTCGCCAAAATGGACCGGCCAAATGGTCTTTACCCAAACTACTTGAACCCTCGGACTGGTCGCTGGGGGCAACGTAAGTAAACATGATATGCTCAGTGTGAACCCTGATGAGCTCATGTCAAACTGTTGTGAGTGCTTTACAAAACATGCTGTAGTTTTATACAGTATTCTTTACGATACAAAAAAGCTGCTGTTTTTTGGACTTGGGCTGGCCCATGTCCAGTTGTGTTCCCCTTAGAAGTCCTTAATTGCTTGGACAGACTCCAGTCAGTTCCCAATAGGGCTGCATTGAATAATGAAATACTAAAGGCTTTATCTTAAAGAATTACAACTCTACAAATGTATCTTTGAGTAGCGTGTCAGTTGTTAGAATCTGTTTACAAAGTGAGGACAACTGATACAAACTAATTGGAGGAAAAGTAGAACTACTAGTTTAATGAGAGCAATTGATGTGAGTGCAAGACAAGAGAAAGGGGATCACAGAATTCCCATTGTATTGATTTCATTTTGGCCACAAGCCCTGAGAAATTAGCAGCTCCCTCAAGTGAAGTACGACTTGGAATGACACACTGCTCTGACTCTGAAACTTGTCCTTTCTATACAAAGGAAATGTAGAAAAATGTGTCATTAAAGCTGGAGAGACAAAGGGGCTGCACAACAGTGACTTCATTAACTGAGGTCTTAGTTTCTTAGTGTGTCACATGAAGATGGATGACAGCTCGTTTCACTGAGGACAAAGAAATGTGGTGAAAATGACTCGTAATAGAATAAAAGTAGCATTGGTGAAGCATCTCCCTCACAGCATTAGTTTTATGTCACTATGGTAAAATTATAATGCCTAAATGAAAAAAGTTTGCAGCGTTTCTTATGACTATAAAAGATGATAGCTGTTCCAATAGTCCCGTACCCCCATTGGCTTAATGAGCAAAACAATACATTTCTATACCAGATGGTATTATTTGCATGTTTTATAGTGTTTTAAAATAAGTTAACTGCTGAAAATTGTTTAACATAAACTGAAATGTAGATACTCAAATTCAGATATATGTATTTTATTTTTATTTTTTTTTACAAGATATAAGGCTGTTTACAACCCCAGATACACATGGTATAAAAGTAAGTGTTTCCATAAAATAAAAAAGACAAATTGTTTGCATAATTATCAAGTACTGAAGGATGTATTTGTTTGCGCACCAATCACCAATCAAATACAGATATCTTCCTAAAGTCTCTTATAGTCACACTATAGTTATAATTCAGCAGAAGCCTCTGATGCTGCTTAATTTTAATTGCCTTTTTTGTATATATATATATTTATCTGTAACTTGGCATGTTACAGGTAAATTGTCAAGATTGTATTTTCTAGATGCTTTACTGCAATTTTTTCACTCAAAACTAAGTAGTAAGTAAGTACTAAGTTTCGAGTCAATCACCAACTCATGTTCAAACATTTGGAATTCGTATTTTGCCCTGAAGTGCAATCTGAGTGTTTGTTATTCTCTTTTAAAATCAGATTTTTCCCTTTGCTCAGAATTCACTTGAGTGTGTTAAAATATTCTTTTTTGGTTGTTTCGGTTGGGAGAGATTTGAATCTACAAAGGAATTTATTAGATAGTTAAATGGAGACAGATTGAAGACTTGTTAGATTTGTTATTTTAGAATTCAAAAGTTTTTAAAACATTACTATAATAAAATATTCCTTCTGTGCTAGTGACAGCCTTGGAGATTTTTTTAAGCTTTCATTTGTCCCTGTCAAATTCAAAAATCTCTGGAGTCGAGTAGCTCAGACAAAAAAAAGAGAAAGATTGGATTTGAAAAAAAGGCCTATTGCGAAGGTGTGAAAAATGCTGTTTTTATCCCTCTACACAGTGTCAGCATAAGCACAGTTTAAATTAAATGCATTGTACAAACAAATGAATAAAGAGTTGTGTTTGTTTTAGCTGTCACTAAAACAAATGGCGAGCATTGGTGGGTGGAGACAGGATTAATGGACAGCCTCATTAAAGGATGACTCAGGGCTGAAGGCAGAGGGGGCTCTTGTAGGTGTACACGTTTGGAGACAGCATGGAGAGGAGAAACAAATGAAGAAGATGGACTGAAGGGGAGTGATGGATGGATGCAGTTTAACAGTGGATTTTTAGCTGACAGGGTGATGACTGATGCTCTGTTTGACATGCATAGAGAACTAAGCAATCTTGTCTTTTTTTTTCACCTCTACTAAAAAGTAGAAAGACTGCATTTTGTCCAAATTGGTTTGTGTGCCATTCTGTTGAAGGCCTAAACGTAATGAATTTTAAGCAAAAGAGAGTTTCAGGTAAGACTGAACTGAAACTTAAGATTTTTTTTGGTAGTGAATCTAAATTGTCTTTGAGTTGTTTTAGTGGGATCATTACTTTTTTTCAGTCAGCAATGCATTTACCCCTTAATTTGTAGTTTCGTGAATGACAAAAAGATGTGAGTCATTGCATTTGTGAGTTTATACACATTTTCCAACTTGGTTTGAAACTAAAATGACTGAAAAAACTAAAAAAACTAAACAAAGCAAAGTGTCTCTAAAGTATCCTTGTATTTTGGCCCACCAGTGTCCCTGTAAGTGCACAAAAACTAAACATTGGTTGCAGAGGCTTACAGCTCTGAACACACAGCCAAGCCCTGTGGACCAAAGTCAGCACTTCACCTCCAATTAAGAGACAAAGTACTCTCCTCTGAGCACAGTTAAGTCCTCATTTCTCTCCAACTAGCAGACTGAGAGGATAGCTAGAGGCCATCTTTCTCCAAACACCAGGACTTTCACTAAACAGGAGCCACAACGGAGCTGTCCTTACTGTTTACAATGAATTTTTCATTGTCCTCCTCCCAGGTCAGCACCACCTGTCCTGTTTTATGCTGCAGTTAAAGAAGACCTACTGTTTTTTTGAGTACTTTGTAATAAAATACAACACACTTACCATTATTTAACTTTTTTCATTGGAGACTGCAATATTGATCTCGAATAGCTTAGTGATATAAATGGGACAATTGAATTCCCTTTAACAAATCACTATTTATAGTGGCATTTCAACTTAAACAGCTGTGGATTTTCATGGATGGATTTAAAATTTTTGCTACATATCATTTTTGAACTCAACCCTAATTTTTTTTTGGAATAAATGCAAATTAGTGCTGGGAAGTGGGTGGGTATAAGGGGTAGGTGAAAACAGAAACTATCTTACTCAGATACAGGACAATACAAGGTTACTCCAACATGCATGAGCCAATGTTAATACAATTATAAGTAAACCAATGATAAGAGAAGACATTTGAATATGGTTAAAATGTCATAAAAGTATTCATATCTGCGTTACGTGTTAATTTGTGAAAAATCTGAAGTTTGAAACGTACAGTTTTACTCTACTCTGCATAGTCATTTTTCAAAAGCCACTCCTCCTTATAAATGCACTAAACTGAACAATTTTATTTTCTAGTACCTTTTTTTAAATGGAGTTGTCTGTTTTTGCAAATCAAGTCTATCTACCAGCATTTCATATTCTATTTGTCTTGGCCACAGAAACGCACTAGCTAGTAATCTTTGTCTGTCCAAAGATGCTTTATTTTCAAACTTAAATTGTTAATACAATAATAGCTTAATATGGCTACAAAACAGGCAATTACACACACAATATTTAGATTAGTTGTCCCGCTATTGAAAGAGTCAAATTAATTGTGTTTTCATTACTGAAAATAATTGTGTTTATATGAATTTTATAATTAGAATGTAATTAAACTTCCAGGCTTGGAGGCTGTGTCCACAAACTGTACAGTGGTATTGATCCCTGTCTGCTGCCCATACGTGCAGCCAAAGACGAACACAATAATTAACCGTCATTCCATCAGCCTTAACCACACTATCGAAAACATTAAAGCGGTGCAGGATTAATTAGCACCAAGATAATCTGAAATCAACTCAGGCTCCTTAATCGCCCGCCAACACCAGACAACAGGTCACAGGAGCCCAGCAGGGAGAGGAAATGAGGAATGAAGAAATCCCTTTGCTCACCCAGGCAAATAGCTTTTCAGTGTAGACAAGTATTGATGGAAAAATAAAAGAAGCCTACAATATAAAGCCTAAGATGTCCAAGTGGATGACGTTTCATTTCTTAAATTGCATTTACCTCTTTTGTTGTCAGAATCTTACAGTAAGTCAATAATAATTTCATGAAAGAGCAAGTTATTATAATTTTTGTCCAGCAGCCATTGTTGGGGTTCATTTTCCTGTTATATGCAACATTTTGAGGGCTTTTCCCTTTCAAAAGATATATTTGTTTTAAATGACTATGGCAACCTTCCAGATTTCTGATCATTTTGAAGCCCATGAGTAGGGATACTCTACAATCTCTTATCCGCAGATCAACATTTAGAGTTTAAGCTTCTATGACAAATTAGGTTTTGTTGGCTTCTAGTTTGCACATTAGTGAACATCTGTAACTCCAGCAGAGTCAAATAGGGACATGCCACATTCACTTCCATTTATTTGGACCAAAGACAGCCACATAATGCACTCCACAGACAACAAAATTAACATCAAACCATCAGCCAAAAGTAATGCTTAAAGCTTTTTCCTGGATAATTGCATTTTGATGTTGTTAATAGTGTTAGACATTAATTATGATGTGTGGGCATAGTGAAGTTGTGCTATCATGAAGAGCAGTAATGTACAAATAGAGTAAACTAAACAGTGTTTAAATGTGTGGAGGAGTGGAGACAGTACTTAAGCCAAACTAATGAGCAGCGTGGCTCTGCTCCTCAGTCCTAATGACATCCTCCTGTGAGTGACAGCCTTGTTACTGCAAAACCTCTCTCACTACAACAGCTCCCAGAAAACACCACCCACTCCTGATTTAACCTGCACACGGTCTCTTCACAAACCTGCAAACTATATTTGCTGAGAATAACATCCAGAGCTAAGCTGTTGAGTAAAAATTTTGGTTACTTTGTATTTTTTATGCCAAATGTGATGGAAAATGGATGGAAGGTGGTACCACCAAATTACATGCACTGTGGAACTTCTGGTGGGACTTTGCCTAGAATATTCCAGTATGGCATTAAATGTATCATGGGTGTTTATAGCTATAATATTTTTAGAAAGTCTCCATTAAGATAGAAATAACACCATACTGTGGAACTTTCCATGCAAAACAATGACATTACCATGGAGAGAAGCAGGTAGCAAAGTTGAATAGTGCACAATTTTATACCACTATAATACCAAGTCTGCACAAGTTGTATAATATAATTTTTTTTTTTCCTTTTACAATTAGAAATCTGTTGAACTCATAATCGAAAGTATCTATGAGAGGTTATGTTAATAAATACTCTATTTGACAATAAGCCTGTTAAAACATATAAAGAAGCCTAAGTGAAACTGTTTGCTTTCATCTTAGCCAGCAGTATTTCAGTACAAATCACCACCTTATTATTGCCCCACTCCCATCAACATCAAACTATACCAAGATCTAAAATCCAAATGGCAAATTACAAAGCGGAACTCTTCTGTCTGTTGTCTCTATGAGTTGTGCCATGAAACCCAATAACAAGCACAGACAGAGCATTTGTTGTGATCTGGGCTGTGTGTGACCTTGACCTGCGTTTGATTCTGAGGTGTTTGAAGTTTAGTGAGGATTCCTCCCTGTGTAGCCCATGTTTCCGAGCTTGTGTTATAGGAACGATTGTTTGAAGTCCAGCCCTGCCTTTGATTGACAGGTGCTGCCGACTCGACCCTATGCTTTGATTGGCAGACAGAGATGAGGGATGCAGGTGGGCGGGAAAAAAAAAAACAATGCGTGTGAGATAGAGGGAGAGGTGTAATAGAAGAATTTATAATAAGCAGAAACAAGCCAATGTACAGAAATCATAGAGATACCTTTTGTGTGATTGGCTGATTGTCACATATACAATTGTGGAATTAGCTGTTTACCAAAAATGCATTTTATCCTGTTCGATTTTACATTGTAGGTTTCAAGAAAGTTTTGTAGTATGAGGACATTATTGATTTTTCTAGACACTTATTCTTGTTCATACTTTCTAACCACCTAAACCTTTGTATGCTTTGTTCCTACTGAAAATAACCTCAAATAAATATGGAAATGGAGTACCAGGGTTCTTTCATACCTTGCCTCAGCTTGGCAAAGGTGAAAAGGCAACGTAAAGAGAATGCTGTATTAAGCTTTACTGTCACATAACTGTTTGCCAGCCATTTCATAATATTAATAATAATAATAATGTAATGAAGGTAATTGTTCTATGTAATTAATACCTACTTAAATGTCAGCTGAAATGAAAATAGCAGCTTGTTGAGGTTTAACAGTGCAGAGAAATTGGCTTTGAGCAGAAGGCACTAGAGGGTTATTTCCTCAGGTTTAAAACAGAATAAACAACATGTTTCATTTGCATTGGAGACGGATAATAAAAGTAGAAATCCTCCAGAGAAAAAAAAAAATTCAAAGCGCTAAAGCTGCTAATGCTGCTAATACAGGTGGATAATACAGTGACCATTTCAAAAGCTGGTACCTATGTTGTTTTAGTGCCATGTTCACTATTTCAAAGGATTTTTTCTGTGTAGCTGTTCAAAGAAATCTAAATATTTGCATGTTTGATACTTTTTTGGATTTCTTTTCCTAGACTTGATGTTTAGTCTGTTTGCACATTTAAGTCTCTGGTCACATCTTATTTTAGTAAATGTATATTTCAGGCCCACACTTGCCCTTAATATCTCCAAGGTTGTTTGCCAGGTTTCTGCTCTCTGCGACAAAAGATGAATAATACATGACTTCCTCGTCCCTCCTTCCTCTGCCCGTGTCCCATCATTTACCTACAGGCATGTTAATCAGATCCAGAAAGGGATCTCCTCAGATCAGACACAAAGCATATGCCCAGACTCTCAATGTGATTAAATGGAGCAGAGGATGTACTTATGCAGGCTGCAAAGGGATGGTCATGTCAGCCCTGGAAGTGGAGCTGTTCAAAATATACACTAAAATATACACAGTGCACCAAATATAAAACTTAAGCTCATCTGTTTAGCAGCTGTATAAGATGAATGAATGTAATGAGTTTTAGAAGAGATGATTGAAAAATCTATCTTAAAAATGTATTACCTTGCAAAAAGACATCTAAACATCTGTGCTACCCACATAAGTTGGTAGAACTTAAGTGTATATATTGATTAAATGGTATAGCCTCAAGAATTCATAACATCAGTTCGACTTGTTCCTAAAATAGATTGAAGTGGCTTTCAAAGTGAGCTGTAAGTGTCCTCTGGAGGATAAAATGAATATTTTCTTATCAGGATCAGAGAGTTGGCAGTGCTCCATCCTCTCTGTGTGATGTTTGGCAAACGAGGACAGCTTTGAAAGCTGTGTAAACTTCTATGAGGATGAACTGGGGACATTAAAATGTGTGCTCAGGAGAGGGATCAACATGCACATTAGTGCCAGTGCAGCTTAGGTGAACAGGAAAATAAAAGTAGTACCAGCTGTGGGCTCAGACCTGTCATTTTCTCCTCTGTTCCTCCTCTTTGTGATGTACACCTTAGTTTAACAGCACTTTCTTCTTTCAGATCACACCTCGGTTGGAGGACTGGGAGACAGTTTTTATGAGTACCTGCTGAAGGCATGGCTCATGTCAGACAAGACTGATACAGAAGCTCGCAAGACTTATGATGATGCTATAGAGGTATGACATATGCTTTCCTTATGGGCTCCTCACCTTGTCATTTACGTCACCTTGACATGTAAAATACAGCATATGGCAGCAGGGGTTTGACACTACTAGTTCAACATGTCATTTTGATGAGTTTGGCAGTTCCTCCGTCATTTTCATGTCAAGCATGAGATAAAAGCTGTGTTCTCACACCATTTTTATACAACATAAACACTGTCAGCACATCGGATACACCATTGAAGTGTTGTTACAGCTGCTGCCACGTCATGTGGTTTAATGTCATTTACAGCAAGTTCAAAGTTAGAACATCCTCCATCTCCTACATCTTGTTCTTCTGACATTTAATTCCAGAATTATAGATTCATATTCATTTACACGTTGTTACATCCCCAATAACTCTTCATGTATGGGCCCCAGAGGAGAGCAGACGTTTATGGCCTAAAGCTGATGGTTTGTTGGTATTTAGAAGTATGACCAGATGTTACAGGGTAAAAGTGTGATAGATGTGGCAGTTCATCCATGTCATTATTTATCATTCCCCATAACCCTAATGCATTTAACACACACTGAGCTCAATATTAACTCCATAAACAACTTGATTACCTGTCATCCGCCTCATGTAAATCTCCCATTACCATTTGTGGACACATCAACTAATTGTTTTTCACAGGCCATTGAGCGCCACCTCATACGCAAATCCAATGGAGGCCTTACGTTCATCGGGGAGTGGAAGAACGGGCATCTGGAGCGGAAGATGGGCCACCTGGCTTGCTTTGCAGGCGGGATGCTCGCTCTGGGCGCAGATGGCTCTCCTGATGACAAGGCCGGACACTACCTGCAGTTGGGGGCCGAGATCGCACACACCTGTCACGAGTCCTACGACAGAACAGGTAAGCACAACACAGGGGCATGGAGTAATTAAAGAAAGGCTTATGTATGTAGTTGGTAATGTGTTATTATTCTGTTACAGATACAAACAAATTACTTAAGTGTTTCATTCTGCTATTTATCTATTTATTCTGGCTAATTTTTTGTGTATTTAGAGTAGTTTTCGGAGTAATAATACTTCTTTTAGGTGTAGGTGTAGGTATTATGTTAGTGGCATTATCATATTGTGTATAATTTCTTCAGTTCGCTTTTCAAAATATGTGTGACAGGTCTAGGTCTTTTCTTAACATTTAACACATGTTAAACTAGAATGTAGTTAGAATTCATCAGAATGAATGAGAGACTTGAAACAATGGAGAATAACTTTTCTCGATTGTAACTGTATTTGTCAAACAAAAATTATTGTAACTGTAGACTTCTAGAAAGAAACTTCTAATAGTAGCTAAACATTGAAACAATATGAATAAATTAACGATGATTAAAGTTATATGTGTTAAATAGTAGTAATGTATAAGTAAAATAAAGGATTGCCCTGGTATTGGCTAACTTCAAAGTTTTTCTACAAAAGCACCTAACTACTAAGCCTACAATATTTTTCAAACTAATCACTGTTGTCTCACTTATAAATTGGCACCCTGCCTGTGGTTGAAAAGCAAAGTAATCATCAGTATTGAAGAAGACCTTTGAAAAACATTTACCTGGAAATTTTCTTCTTTGGGATCAATACAAACAAAGACTGACTGGTTGTGGCCCTGCATCATGATTTTTGCGGGTTTCAAAATACAGGCTTTCTCAGGACGAAGACAACCGGCTGCCATGGCAACAAATGAAGATGAATAGAGTTTCTTGTTATAGCAACAGGGAGTCTGATTGCCATGGGATACTGGTCTAAAGCTGACCGGTTTGAGTCTCAATGAGCGAATATTCACCTTTGACACGTTACAGACAGTCCATGCTTTGTAGCTTTATTATTGTATCTCAGTTAATGTCAGTCACTTTTAGTTATGTGGAAAACCTCGAAGGCTTTTGTATCTATCCACCATTTCCTGCATACATTTACCAAAATAGATTGGTGTTGCGGCTCTATTTTTAATTTATGCATTTTTTTAAATTTTTTTTTTAAACTGGCCCAATGAATTTATTGGATTGAAGAACAGTAGTGTAAAATGTGGTCATGAGCCAAACCACAATTTGCACAAAACTTGTGTAGTTAATTTGAAAATCTTCAACAACAATGTTTCAGTAATAATAAATTGACATCAAATAACTTCAGTTGTACACCACAGGAGGTTAAATTGGAGCACAGCAGACTGCCAATGAAAGCTCGTACCATTATTTTACAGTTCTTATTTATATCTTGTCTTTTATATCTCTCAATGACCTTTCTATATTTTCTGTCTCCACAGTATTGAAGCTCGGTCCAGAGGCCTTTAAATTCGACAGCGGTCTGGAGGCAGTGGCAGTGCGTCAGAATGAGAAGTACTACATCCTGCGCCCTGAGGTGATCGAGACGTACTGGTACATGTGGAGGTTCACCCATGACCCCAAATACCGACAGTGGGGATGGGAGGCTGCTCAGGTGAGACACACGCATTTGGGTATCAGAGAAGAGATGATCCTTTGATAAGTTCAGAGTTTCTTTCTTGAATTTTTATTTTTTTTTCATTTGACCAGACTTGGGTTTTCAGGAAGTGATTAGTTAAAATAAACTTGGGCCTGGTATGAAAATATCAATAGAAAGAGTTAAGTTTTTTTTTCTCTGTTTGTCTCTATTTTGTGTATGTCACTACAGAGTGATTTACAGATTGTTTATAGTAACAATAATTTATTGACTACAGTAAATATCCATCTGGATTTAGGACTAAAAACACTCTAATTTGCAAAGTTGTTAATAGAATTGAGTTAAATCTGTCTTCATTTGAATTAGGAGAAAGGTGTTGTATGATTTTGTTCATTTTTTCTGTTAGTTGCATAGTCAGCAATTTCACAAAAAGGCTCTTAAAAGTATTTCTGAAAAGTTTTGAATTTGCTGTGGCGCCCTTTCCTGGCACCCTTTCCTGACTCCCTCCTTTGGGAACATTTGTTTTATTCAATTGAGTGAATGCTTCGGCAACAATGTGGACCTTGTTTGAAGGACCATTACCTTTTTATATCGTGTGAGTGGAAACATACCAGGGAGTGCGAGATTTAGATAGCAGAAAATTCAGCACTGCATTGGGTGACACATTAAAAGCATTTAAAAAAATCTTTTATATTGTGAGCATGGTGGCTATTGAATTTATGTGAATGGGACCTGATTCAATATAGTCAGTCAACGGTTTAGTTAAAGTTCAGATCAGGTTTCATGCTTCTTGGAAAATACAATCAATTTCCTTAAGGTTGAAGTATCATTAGATTTTGTGCTTGTAACAATGTAACTTAATCTGTTTTCAGTGTGTGTGTTTGCCTTGAACAGTTCAGATAAATCTTCTGTGAGAGGTGAAAAGAACCGAACACAACACTACATCTGTGCCAAGGGCAGATTTAAAGGTTCACTGTGTATCTTTTCTAGGTCTGTGTCACCTGCTTGTTTCTATGGCTATGTCATTGCTCTGCCTGGAATGCTCCACAGTATGACATTAAATAGCTCTACCTTACATTTATTCAATTACAGGTGGTTTTATAGTTCAAAAATACCTAGAAAAACTGGTATTCTGACTGTGAGCGGAGTCGCCTCTCCACAGCTCTCAGCTGTAACTTGATCTGGTCTCCATGAAGATAGAAAGGTTTAATGCCATACTGTGAAACATTCCAGACAAAGCAATAACATTTCCATGGAGAAAATCATTTGACGGAGCCTCCACCAGAAAAGTTAGACAATGCACCTTTAAGGTAAGGCAAGGCAGGTTTATTTGCATAGCACAGTGCTTTTCAGTATAAGAAAGACATTAAAATCACAATACAAACAAATCAAAACATAAATCATCATTATAAAATCAACATTAAAAGTAAAGATAGAAGAGTGCGGAATAAAAACAGTCATCAGTCATATGCACATCTTAACCATTTTTAGCCTGGATTTAAACTTTGTCACAGTAGAGGCCTGTCTCGTGTGTTCAGGAAAGCAGTAGTCTTTGTATTAGCAGCAATAACTAAAAAGTAAGGATCGAGGGAATAGTCTGATGCCTTATAAACTTTTTTTTTTCTTTATTGAATTGAGAGACTTCCATAAATATTTATCATCAATATATGTTCCCCACAGTTGCTCCCATACCATCACTTTCAAGTCTGAATGTTTCACCTGGAACTCACATGGCTGCCATTGGTCTGATATTTATTTATTCTAGTACAAAACAATTTTAGAGCTTGGGATTGAACATCAAAAACTTTCTGTTACTGGCCAGATGTGCCACTACTGGTAAATGCATTTTTGACTATAATGCCAGAATATCTTTGAATGAATGCTGAATTTAGTATTTAGCATTTACCAGAAAATTCCCATTCATTTAACATTAGGCATTAACATTATCTGAATATTCTCTGATAGGTTGATTAATAGATGGATAGATTGATTTATTGATAGATGGGTAGATAGATTGATAGATGGGTAGATAGATACTTTATTGATTCCAAAGTAAGTAAGTTCAGCTGCTGCAACATAAAAACAAATATAGCAACATATTTGTCCATCCTCTTGTATGACAACACAAGCTCTGTTTAGTTTTGGTTTAGAGTCTTTGTTTTGGTCAAAATATATTTGTAATTCCATCTGTAAATGCTACAGTGCCCTGTGAATAAGCAATTTGTTTCGGAAGTCTTTTCCACAGACTGTCCCTTTCATCTGACAGTGGATTAAATCCCAATCAGTTTTTTCATCTCGTATCCTCACCTTCTCCCCTTCTTCTCATTTTTATTTTTTTCTTTCTGCTGTCAATCTTCATCTCACCTTTCTGTGTGTGTCTCCGTGGTGATGCTCTCATGGTTTTGTGCTTACGAGTGGGAGTGTTTGCGTCTGTGCTCGCAGGCTAAAAGCGATGAATGCGTTTGACAAGTCTGTTTATATGGTGTGATTGTACACAACATGAGTGACACTATAGAGACACTCTGTGGAGGAGCTCATCTCTGCTTCATGCATTATGTAGGATACAAGCATATATGCACCAATTTGAATGTGAACGAGATTGAGCTTTGATCTATAGCTGACATAAATTTTTATATTGCAGTACAAGTTCCTATCTCCTATACATGTGTTTGACTTTCATTCACCTTTTCTACAGCACTGACGAACCTATTAACTCTGCATTTATGATAGAAGTGAACAGCTAAGTCTCAACAAGTGGTTGTTTTCGAAGCTAAGTTAATGATTCAATATAATATAATTTCTGAAATGTGTTTCATAAATATTTACTCTGTAGTCCTTAATACAGCTTGTTAGGTCCATACTGAAAGTAAATAAAAGTAGCTTCTGGTAAATTAAAACTAGTGACCAGGGATTATATAGTTCAGGCATAAACACTTCTCTTACTCATCTCAATAGGGTAATAAGTGGTTGCTGAATCCATCTGCATGCACAGCAATGGTTAGTAATGGAATCATTAATGGTGCATCAGCTCCAGGATGAATGCTCTATTCACTAAACCTTAGTTCTCTATTCATATTTCGTGTGGGGATTAAATGTCTTTGCAGGTGGAAGATTGCTTTTTGCAAGAATCCCTGTGATTGACTGAATATATGCTTTGAGGTTCCTCCAAAAGAATTCACCAATACCAACACTCAAAACTGGTATTACATTTCACTATGTTGTACAAAGCTGTTACTTTAAACCAATTGACATACATACATAATGTAATGTCAAAACTCGATACTTACTCTGTCTGCTACAACGGTACCTTCACCACTGAGTGTGGAATGAACAAATAATATATTGTAAAGTGTCTTTGAGTGTCCAAAAAGTTGCAGTAAATGGATTGTTGCATCTCTACATCTCCTTGCTCTACACTTATGTCTGGTGAATGTAAATCTATTTTTGAATCTCCCCATAACAGACTCATCCCTCCCTTATAGCACCTTTTAGTGCACTCTTCTATCTTGTAGAGCAAGACATGGACCATTACCTTGCCTCTGTTTTAATGTTGTTTTTCTCATTTCCTAATTCAACTGCTGTGTGTAGCACCTGAGCCTGTCTATAATTATCCTCTTGCTCACACTTTCAAACACCTGCCTGCAGCTCTGGTCTGTAAGGTACAACTTTTGTTTTGTGGATCACTAAAGTCACACCTCATGTTTTCACTGCAGTGGATGTAGCACTTGAAAATTTTAATTGTGTTTTGTGCTTGCAAGAATAATAATATTGGCACTTGTTTTTGTCACATGCAGTTGCCTTTGGTTTAGAAATATGTAGTTTGTTTGTTTGTTAAATCTTGGACCATTGCCATATCTTTTGAATTATGAAAAGTCCTCAAAAAATTGTCCAAGATCACACATAAAGACATTAACTTTAACACTCAAAATATTTAGATCACCATCTTATGTTTTATTGTTTTGAGAATGTTATATTTGGCAAAAACAATGCATTGCTTGGGCTAAAACCTCTTCAGGCATGAAGGAACAACACGGTAGAAAGGTACTTACCCAACCACAAGGGGTCAGTAAAGCTTATGGTTCATCATAGTTTGGTAAATTGATTTTTAAACCCCAGAACTACAGTACTATGTACTAAGGATGGCAATAGATTGTAACCCATTTTAACCTTTAAAGCCCTTTTAAACCAGATACTTAAACTACACTTTTATATAACTACATTTTTAAGTTAACCCTATACAGTCAAATAACACTTTCATAGATGTTGACTAGTGTGTTAAGATGGTCTAAGCTGGCTTCTGTGCCAGCTGTGCTCTTCTCTACAGTTTGCAGAGATCGAGCGTATATCCAAGCAAGTCAGGACAGTATTGACAGTGTATAAAAATCCCATTACATGTGTCAGTCAGGCAGCTTCGGGTCACACTTGTGGTCTGCTCCTTCAGCATGCATTCACTGTCATTTCTTATCAAGGCCACTGTCACTGCCTGTATAATGTATGTCATGGGCACCTTATCATTGTGTAAAGTGTGAAGGTGAAGCCAGCTGCTCCAGTCTGAGGTGTGACTGTCCATCTCTGCTTTCTATTACAGGAGGACTTTTCTTTTTCTCAGATTATTTATTGGGCCTGCATGGCTCTACTTGGAAATGTTCATTGTTCACATTTCTTGACATAATATTGTCTGAATATCATTATGGGGATGCTCCAAAAAATATTAAGTGTTTTTTTTTGTCATTTTTGTCAGTATCGCCCAAGCCTAGGTTCCAGGATAGAAAAATAGTTTGTGGACTTTGTAGACATCTGGAAGAATCAAAATATGTTAAATAGCAGTTGAATTCTTGACTTCAAAGCCTAGGTTACATATGTTTTGGCCAAACATTCCACACACAATCCCAAGTATTAAAGTATTTATGATCCAGGTACCTAATGTTTTCAATTACATGCATTTATAGTGAAAGTCGATAAGCTGAGGTGTAATGCTGCCTGAATTTTTTATAGAAGTCCTGATTCCTTGTCATAACCCTGAGTTTGAATCAATAGGGCACAGCTACAGTACGAGGCTGCAGCCGTATCACACCTGCATTTTTAATAAGCTCCCATTTCATTCAGACGTGTGTGGGGTAACTTTAGCCCGCAGGGTTCTGTTTGTGGATATTTGGTCCCATCACAGCAGCTCTAGAGTCAGCTCTCAGCACTTCCTCATAGCGGACAATGGCTCGGCTAAACCAGATCTAAATTAAGGTTTAAGGTAATTAAAGGGGCTATACCTGGTTTTATGCATGTAATAAATCACAATGTGCTTGTCAAAGTAGAGATTTATTGTAAAAGCTGCTCTTAGGGCCAAAATCACATTGCTGTGTGCTGTCTGTATCTAATTGTTAATAATTATTATCACCCATGAACCACAAACTATGTCTTACTGTACCTGCACTGCAGTTTGACAAACTCAGGATTAAGCTGTTTAACCCTAGAAGAGTCCCATTGTGAATGGTATACCAACCATAGAAAGATCAGGTTTCAGTCCGTTTGGAGTTTATTTACTTTGGAGGAAATATAACTATTTTTTTTTATGGCAATGATTAAAAGTCTGTATTGTTGAAGTTCATTAAATTAAAATGAAAAACATTATTACTGGTTGTTATTAAGACAAAATATATATATATATTTTTTTTAAAGAAATTTGTTTTGTTTTTTTCTTTCTTTTTGCAAATTGTCCAGCCCTCCGTCCAAGCATGTATTTTTATGTCTACTTATATATTTCTAGTAATTAGATTTTTCTTTGTCAGGATTTGTACCTAGAGAAAAGGTTATGTCATCTGTTGTCATAGTAACACACCTCCACATGTTTTCAGCACTTAGTGCTGTGTTTCTGCAATAGGCACATTTCAGACTTCTCCCTTTTGTTTTCATCAGATCACTTTGTTTTGAAAAATGCCTTAATCCACAACACATCTGTGACTTTGGAACGATCAAAGCTCTCAAAAAACAACTGAAATGAATGAAGATCTGGGGTTTAAACTGACTCCATTTGGGACAAGGTTGAGATTTGTACAGAAAACAATGATCCAACAAATGTGGTGTTCTGACATTTGGACTATTGGCAAATAAACACCATTCTTGATATGTTTGAACAGACCAAACACAACTGAAAAACAGAAAATAGTATCATGCTAAATTCTTGTTTTGTTTGGGCAAACTAGATTCATTGTAGAGATGAGTGCATTTTGAAGCAACTGCCCAACCTAGACTCAAACACTATTCAGTTTTAAAACACTATTCAGTTGAGAAACACATTCACTAATTAATAGCATTACTTACTATTTGTTGCTCTGTACTATAACGAAGCAAAAAAATGTCATTTCAGTTTTTGTAGCAACATTACAGAACATTCAGGCAAAGGAACAGATGGGCTATTATTCTGAGACTTGTGTTATTGCAGTTTCACCATTACATCACACTACTGTATATAATCTGTTAAGTCATTTAGTGATTGAGTTTCTTTGGTGTGTATTTCTAATGTATGCAAATTCCAGCATTTGATTGAGTACAGTTACATGGATCAACTGAATATCTGTTTCTTGACCCATTTAGTATGAAATAAATTCATTTAGTGACAGTTAATCGGTTAGTCACTTAACCATGAACACCCCTATTTCTAACACATGCTCAGTTCAGTGTTCTTCCATTTACTTGAAGCCATTGTATTCTAAGGATCTTAACTAAGCCATTACAGAGACAGCCCCTCCCACAGTATCAGCCAACATAACACAAATGACTCTGTAGTGTCTGTTATGAAGATGTTTTGTGTAGAGAAAGGACAAAATAAAATGTAAATGTTGGTGAAACAGTGAAGGCGCTAGCGCTAATCTTCTTTTTTTACAGCCTGTGTTTGCGGTTTGCGTCTCCCCAGGACCTGCTCTAATCTGTCACTAGCAAAGAAATTAATTATAGCACGCTTTTGTAAGCGTATTAAAAAGGCGCTCCCCTCCCCCCAACACATTTCCCTGTACTATAAAGCCAACCGTGCTTTATACAAGTTGGATATTTCTACCTAGTTAGGCTCAGTGGATAATATTACGTAATGTAATAGTAATGTAAGTTTTTTTTTTTTTCTCTATAATTAAAAATGGCAAAAATCTTATTATGTGGCTCACAGGGCCTGATAATGTTCCAGAACTGAAGCACTATCCTCTCAGTGTAAAGTCATATTTTAGACAGGGCATAACAGTTCCCCCTCGTCAAATGACCATTTGTGCTTCTTTACGTGTTTACAGTGTAGTTTAGTCCTTTGTCTTAAATTGAACCTCTGTGTGTTTCAGGCCATAGATAAGTACTGTCGTGTGAGTGGAGGTTTCTCTGGTGTGAAGGACGTCTACTCCTCTAATCCCACCTACGACGACGTGCAGCAGAGCTTTTTCTTGGCCGAGACCCTCAAGTAAGACTCCCTTCTAATCATGATTAATGCACACCATCCAGAAGCCATCACTTCATTTGTTAATTCATTAATTCTGGGCTCTCTTTAGATTAATTTGATAAATTGCTGAGTCTGTGATTTTAAAGAATGTGTCACTTAAAAGTAATTGTAGCAATTATTTGGATGATGTTCAAATAAATGAGCAGTGAACTTTTGGGGTTTCTTATAAAGATGAGTTTCAGTAATATGACAGATATTATACCCTAAAACTCTTTTTGATTGATGAAAGTTGAAGTTACTAATGCACCAACAACCAGCTGTACATTCACCTGTGCCCTCTATCCCCTTCCATTAAATATGATGGTTTTCCCTTAGAAATAACAAATAAACCAAGTAAATTAGCTGTGGCAGTTGTTTCCTTTAACACATTCAAGTATACACTCCTAACGAAGGTTTTGTCTTTGAACGTGTGCTTGCATCAAAATGCTTTCTGTGTCTTTATCCTAGATTTTATGTTGAACTGTTGTCAGGGAGTGTTAAATATAGATGAAGGCATTAAGACATTTGCATTCAGCATAATTTGAAGTCACTTTGAGCCTCTTACTTTGGCCTGGAGGAAGAAATTAAGAATACAGTTCTCTGCCTCCCCCTGCTGGTCAATAAATTAACATGCTTCTAATTTGCTGTATGCCAAGTTTGAAGGAAATGCACAAGCCTAACCTAATCAATTGATATCAGGACATGTTTTAAAACACACCCGGTATAGCTTAAAATTCAGTCAAATTTGCACCCCAAGGCCCCAAATGCCAGTGAAATTTGTCTTTGGTGTGAGCTGGTAAAGGTCAGCTGCCACAGACTTTGTGAGACGTGACATTTGAATGTCGGGTGTTACGCAGACTCTGGTATCTCTGCTCTTGGCCACGTCATAAAGGAGCACAACAGCAGCTGCTCTCAACAGGCACATGTATTATGTGCTGTGCAGCTGCCTAATATTTAAGTACTTCTTGAGATTTTCTATAGACCTCAGGCTGAACCAGCTGAACCTAATGGACATGTGTATATGTAAGAATGGTCTAATTAAAAATAGGTTTCATATAGTTTGAGAAAAATATTATTAAAATTTAAAAAGAATTTGATTTAAAAGTCAAATTTACCATCTCTTTTCACTTGTTTAATGACTTAGAAGTTACAAGTTGCAATTTTTCTTTTAACATCTAAAATTAAGTAACAAAAGCCTTGACCTGTCCCCCCCTGCCCCTGTCACAGATACCTGTACCTGTTGTTCTCCAATGACGACCTGTTGCCGTTGGAGACCTGGGTGTTCAACACTGAAGCCCACCCACTGCCTGTGCTGCACTTGGGCAACATCACTTTGCCGGGCAGTGAGCCGTCCCAGCGGTAGAGCCCACACTGGACACGCCCCCTCAGACTGTCCCAGGACAGACTGGAACTCTGTGACTCTGTTTTAATTACACGGACGGTGACCATAACCGACTGGAATCAAACTTTCATCTGAAGGACTGGGCTCCAATCGCGGAGGCTTGAATTAGTTTTTCTTATTTTGAGTTGATTTGACCAAACTTTGATGGGTGAAGCCTGGAGGTGCTTCTATGAAGGATCATGACACTTTGACACTGTCTCGCAGACAGAAGGACCGACAGGTGCGCACTTGACAGGGTCTGTTTTAAGTGTGGGTTTTTCATTTCTCTGAAGGACAAATCATTACCAGGACACAGGGTGAGACTTGACGTCCTCCTCCCCCCTCAGCCCTGTCCCACTCCACCTCCTGTTAAACTCCACCTGAACTGAGCAGACCATAAGAGGAGCAAACATCTCCATGACCTTTCACCTTCTGCTGCTGCTGGACTCTGCTCTTCACAGCTCTTTGACCATAGCTTTCTTTGTGCACACCTTTTCTTATCTCCCGTCCATTTTGTACATTTAGACCTATCATCTTTATCTGTGTGAGCGAATGTGAGAGTGAGAGTTATTGACTCAGCTGCAAAGGTGCACTTTTTACTGTTGTGTCAGAGTTTAGGGGTAGCACTTAAAATAGACCCAAACATTTGTTTCTCAGACAAATTGAGAGGATTGTTCCTGCAAATTACAGTTTACCGGATGCAACCCCAGTGTTGTGTTAAATTATAACTGTCATGTTTTATGCAGCCTTCTGATACTGTACTTTCAAACCATACCTCATGCACATTTAAGATCTTGAATAACTAAGAAATCTAAAACATCTTACTATGGCAAAGAGTAAAACAAGCAATCAAACGTACTGTGGCCAGATAGACATCAAATATTTTTTGTGAAACATTTTCTTTTATTATATTTTACTGCTCTTTCTTTTATTAAATAAAACTTAAAATTCATCAGGGCACTCTTGGGGTCCTTGGGAAAAAAAAGTTGAAAAACAACTCAAGAACTCAAATCAAACCTGCTATCTGACTTCCACACTTGACATCATGTACTGTGTGAAGACTGCAGAATATCAGATGACTTATTTAGCTTTATTATCTTGGGATTTTGATGACGCGTTATGTTTTTTAGGGGGTTACTTTGTGTCATCCATATCATAAGAGCTTGTTGGTTCTATTAAACCACACATCTCAAACACCCGAGCCCCCGAGGACCACATAAATTGCACCCTCAATTTCCTCCAAGAAAAACCTGTAGTAAGATCCTGTGTGTGTGAATGTGTGAGAGACTGAACTACACGTTATAATCTGTGATGTGTCCCTGGTTCTGCCGTTTGACTACTAAAGTTAAAGAGCAGGAATTGCACTAAAGCTGAAGAAGTTTTGTTCATTTCAAGCCTTATCGTTTAATGTGAAGCCAATACTGTGCTCAGTTATGTTCTTTACAACTGCATTATAGATTATGTTTCATTTGTTTCTTTGTTTATGCTCATTTGAATTCTTTGGATTATTTAATAACTCAGATATCTTCACAAATGCCTTATCATTTTTGATTATTAAAACTCCAAACATATCTTTGTGGCCAAATTTGTCTATTGCAAAATATTAAGATTAATTTATACAAAATCAAATAAAAATATTGCAATATTTTATTATAGACCAGATCTAAACCAACAAATACACATTATTCACACTTGACAGCTGCTTTGTTTTTTTGTTTTTTTAATTCTCACACAAAATGCAGTGAATTTTTCAAAAACATATTTTAAACAAATTTGACTTTACAGTGTTACAACTTACATAACTTTGATCAACAACATTCAACATTTGTCCATTTCCCACACCAACTGTAGAGCGACAGAAGTAAGATACATATTTAAACTCTGTTCTCCTGGCATCCCATCATGCACCAGTGGCACTCATAGGAAAGCCCTGCCCCTTTTCTCTGACATCACAATGACATCATCCCCGGCTGACCCTGGGCTTCGCCGAGTCTCTGTGAGCGCGGAGGATTTTGAAAAATGAAAAATGTTCTGTATTTGTATTTTTACTGAAGTGAAAAAAATAAAAGTATCTGTAAATATGTTTAAACTTAAACACAATAAAGATGTTATGAAAAGTGACTGGTTTGATTTTTTTTGTACTGTTATGAAGCTGGCATTTTACAGGTGCAAAAACATCCCACCAGGGATTATTCTTAAAATGTAACTACTTAAAGGTGCGCTGTGTAACTTTTTTTTATTGGTGGTGGGATCTGTTGTTAACTGCTTGTTTCCATGAAGATTTACTGAATTGTCTGGTGGCTTTAACCTTGTATCTTGCATTTATTCATTTATTGCTGAAAAAATATACATTTTGAAACATACCGTGAGCGACATCGACTCTCCACACCTACCGTCCGCTTACATTACGCTTACATACTGTGAAACATCCCACTGTGATAAGTGTTTTATTCTGCTAATTATTTATTGCAGCTCTGTACAATATGGTTTACTTGAATTGCTTAGGGTTATTGTGTGTGACAAAAAGTAATCAAACTATAATCAAACTATAAAAAGTATAAAATGTATCTCATTTCATGGCATACACCTGGAGACTTGGACAGCAGCCGCTCACCCTGTTTTCTAATGATCAAAATTTTCCCCATATGTCCCTTGGCTCTAGATATTAGGTCAGGATTCATATAGAGGCATCAAACCAGTTTTCACTTCACCTGTTAACAGTTTCGTAATGATCAGAGAACATTCGGTGGAACAAGTAGATGCGTGCAGTCTAATCTGACATTTCCCACACTTGTAAGTAACATCTGATCAGGTTTTTGCGGTTTTTGCTCAATGTTATAGAGTTTTCATCTCCTTAATAGCTCAGTGGCTCAGTAGTTTTACACTGGACTCATCTTAACATAGACTAAAGCCATTAAAAAGATACTATCTATCCATTTTAACAAATATAAGCTAGTTTAAACTTTATTGATCCACAAGGAAATTACTTGGACACAGTAGTTCACACTTTACAATATTATATAATAACAGAGAGAAAAAAATATAAATGGTAATGATAAATTCTAAATAAGTAGCAAAAATAGCAAGAGGTGTCCAACAAGGTATTAATATGTGTATGTTCAAGTTAAAATAAACATAAAATGTGATTAAGTAATAAAAATATCTCACAGTGCAAAGATGATATAATGATTGACAGGATATAGGGTTTTCTGTTATGTAATGGTAAGTTGTGTAGAGTTGCAGTATGGTATGAATGAACTTAAATTGCTGACTTTCACACTTTGTTTTCAACCTTGAACACTGCTGTGACAGTTGGAAATTAGGTCACCTTTAGATTCACATAGTATGTTGCATTTGGATGTATAGCTTTAAATAACCTGCCAAAGCATATTCTAAAATAATTTAAATGTACAGTCTGCGAGAACTGCCGCCACAAAAGATTTGTTTAAGTACTGAATATGTTTTTAAATCTGAAGTCACTTTTCTATTAAATTATATATTTTATTCGAATAACTTGAGTGGAAGTAATTCACAATGTAATGTTATTTTGCTTCACTATTTTAATTTTACTACATGTAGTAATAAGGAACATTTTAGGTTAGTGAGGGGTAAGGTAACATTTCTCTGCCACCGTGAAGGCGAACAGCATACTGACAAAATGTGTTTTTATTTTCTCATTTTTGTCTGTGGAGCTATTGTTTTTGCCCCACAATAATGAGTTCCACGGACTCATGTTATTGTGTTATTGTTATTTAAGGAGAGAAAGTTTCAGTCCAATTATGTTATATAGGTCATTATTCAGTACTCAATTTCCACTCACAAATACAGTTTTTAAACTTGTAATGTAATTTGCATAATCTGTATTATTCAGTCATGATAACTATAATAGTGCTTTTGATCCTGACATTAAGCATCAGAGTGCATAATAACAGTGTGTGGACTGAGAATGTGCACGCCTAAGATTATATAATGTGTCACTATTTTGGTGTATTGACGTACTATGAGCACATAACAATTATTCAGACACATCTTAAGTTATACTACAGAGAAGTCATTAGGCTAAGGAATGCCCTTCTGTTAAAAATAATTAATAATGCATATGATGTTGTCATGTAGGACCTTTTAGTTGTTTTTTTTCTATCACATGTTTAGTTATCTGAATTTACTTGTATGTGGTTGTTGTTTTGCTTTAAGTATATTATTTCCTTCACTAGCAGTCACAGACTCACACACAGGTTTAGATCCATTATGCACATAGCTCTGCATATTACAGTGTTCAAGTATGAAGGACGGCTAGAGCCCCAGATATTTAAAGAGTATCCCCCTTTTTCCCTTTATTTCAAAAAGTATGGTTTATGACATGCTGTGAATTGCACCCCCGCTTCACACATAAAACAAAACATCACAGTGGGTCAGTTTGCCCTAACAATAATTTGAAAATTATGTATTCACATGTGTTCTGTTCACCATCAAATATTACGTATGGTCACTATTGCAGAGTGACCATACCTCTGAACCAGAAGACTCTGGGTTTAATTCAGAGACTCTGCATGTTTCCCTGTTATTTATTTGTCTCTATGGTTTCCTCCCACCATTCAAAGAAATACAGTTGATGATTGATTTGGTTAAAGATGCATTAAACTCATTAGTGCTCAAAAATACATTGGAAAGACTTGCATTCCTCTCCCCAGATCTGACAGGTGACATCACTTACTTGTCTCCATGGAGATAAGATATATTTAATACCATACTGTGGAACTTTTCAGGCCGTTAAATACCACCTCTATCAAGACAAACACGTGGCAGACCCTTCATCAGAATATTAGGTTCTAAGTGGATCTTAACATTTGAATTGCTTGCCAGATATTTGTATTGTATGAAAAAACCAAACCAAACCAAACAAAAAAACAAACAAACAAAACATATATTATCTCATGAATAACCTGTCATGTTCACCTATGATTTCATTTCAACCAAAACTTAAATGAAAACCCCTGTCACTGAGTTGAATTATTTGGTCATAAACCAAACCAAATCGTTCTGGTTTCATGGTTAATTCCACTGTAACCAAAAAACTCCAATGCATTTGTACTTGAACAAATTTTGCATTGAGTAATAACCGCAGACCAGACGTTACAGGAAGTTTTGGTTTCTGTCGTTGTACCTTCTTCCTCAAAAGTATTGTTTTGATACATCACTGCAATAAAGTGTATGGATTCTAGCAATACAATAGTCTCAAATGCAGTTGCAGTCATTGGTCAAGTTTTTGTCCAAATACAGACTCAAAGGAGGCGTGACTATAGTCTAGGATTAGATATGTGTTTAGACAAGAGTCAGACAACAGAAAAAGCAACAACATAAAGTGCCAGTGATGTAGAGATGAGTCATGAGCCCTTCAAAGGTCTATGCTGATCCCATGTTATAGGCCCCAGTGGACAGTGGATTACATTCTCAGGCTCACTACACACGTTCAATACATTCATTCTATAGGAGTCTGATGTCCCTGTATCACTGAACTCTCTACTCCCACTTCAAAACTCAGCTGGCAATTTAAAGGTGCATTCAGTAACTTTTCTGGTGGAGGGTCTGCTATCTTTTTATCTCACATGTTATTGTCTACCTGTATTATTTGTTCCACAGTGTAGCATTTTACTTTTACTATTTTCATGGATCACAGCAGGCAAAGACACTAGGCCAAGGTATGAGTCAGAGATGCTGCTCACAGCAAGCACAGAGACAAGCATACCTCCATTATACTCAATCAAATAACATTAGTCATAAAGACGCATGTGTATTATATATTTTGCCACAATGATAAACAGTGCTGTGTGTGAGAAAATCTCAAAATGGCTCAATAGTACATATTGTTAATACACTGTGTTGTGAATGACTTTCTTACAAAGGTCAGAAAGGGATACTGTTTAATCTAAACTTTATTAAACTTAATTACATTCCAATACAACTTTCATTTTCTGAAAAAAATAATTACGCAACTTTGACCTTTCATTATGATTCCATTTAAATCTCCATAAATAAGAGGAAATTTAAAACTTAAACCACTGGATTCACTTTTGTGGTTTTGTTTTTGTTGTGCAGGGCAGTGACAAGTGCACACGCCTGTTTCCTTTGATAACAACACGTCAGAGAAAATGCAGTCTGCCTGTGACTCATTCGGAGGAGATTAGTTCATTCTTTCACCAGCGGATGTTCTACCTCTTTAATGCTCCACTCTGTATGTATTTGTGTAGCAGGGCCCATCTGAAATCACTAATGTGTTTGAATGTGCAAATGGACAGTGATGCTCGGTCAATCTGAGTCACCTGTCGACAGGCGCTGAGCAGAGAAACGACAGGTGTTGACTCTCTCATGCACTACACACACACACACACGCGCGCGCGCGCACGCACACACACACACACACACACACACACACACACACACACACACACACACACACACACACACTGACTTGGACATGCACCCACAGGCTTCAGTGAGCAGACACTGGAGAGAAAAACTAGAAGCACCTCGGCACAAATTAGACTTTCCACATTACCCAACTTTTTTTCTGGTAAATTAGTAATATTTGTAAATAAATGTAGTTTTTCTCTCCATGTAGTACTGTAAAAGCAGGACTCTGTGACAAAATTATGATGTAATTACAAAACATTTTGTCTATTGTAAATGTATAAGTATAAGGAAGAGCCTTGTGAGTCAGTATAAAATGCTTCCCCAGCTTTAATTTAAAGGCACACTGTAGCTAAGGCACACTGTAGCTTTTCTGACCTGGATGTCTCCATGGAAATATAAAATATAAAACTGGGAATACCTTTTTTTGTATTTTCTATGTTAGTATGTGTGGAATATTCCATAGTATGGTATAGTATAACATCAAAATGATTTCTTGTATTTATGTAATCAGCCTATGGGGGGTATTCCATATATACCTGTTTGGAAAGATACCATGTGTGCCCAAGCAATTATCTTTTGAATGGTAAAAAGTGAAACAGGAAGCTGAAACTCATTCATTCATTCTGGCCTGAAAGTTGTATTCAGTTTAAAGGAAAAAAAGCCTATATGCAGTCATTTGGAGAAAAAAACAACAAAAGAAAACCAGTCACTGTTGCTTTACAAAATTAGAGTCTTTTACACTACGTGCATTCATCTTCCGCCAAATGCATTTACATTTGCCTCTTTCTAGCCTTGAATCATTTTTGCTCTATAAAATTGAAACTTGAGTCACTCCCCAAAAACTTTTTCTGAGTGAGAGCAGTGACAAACTGACATTAGGATCCTCATCACATCTCAGTATAACCTGTAACAAACTATATTACTACAGTTTAAGCTATTAGACTATTTTTAGGCAATTTTAAGTTGTTAATGTCAAGGTTTTTAGGCCTAGATAAAGAATTTTCATTTACATTTGGCTGTGAGAAATAGCCTATGTAAAAAGGGGATGCCCTCAGCTCTACAGTTTCCTTTGACTGTATGAGTCAGTTTCACATCTCTGTGCGTGGGGTTGTCCCGCTGTGTGTACTACTACTACTACTGCGACAACCTTCCTGGTGATAAGATATCTTTCAGGTAAAGAACATTACAATCCCGCTCTGTAATGAATGGAATTAGATCTACACAAATGGCACATGTAATCTATGTAGGCTAGAGACAACAAACAGTAATTGCCTAAAGCTTTATTTTATCATCATTGTTTCCTGTCATTCAAGTTTCTATTAGACTTATTTGTCTAAATCAACTTTTCTATAAGTCTATAAATGTAGGCCTACAAATCCTTTGTGTGCAAAAGCAAATAAATAATTAAAAGAAATAAACATCAGACACTCGGTCAGAAAACACGTAAAAAGGCTTTATGTTATGAGGGCAGGACACGTTAAAAACACATTTTAAATATAACATTAGGCTAAACAACTGTGCCTGATGTTTATGCTTCTCTAAATGAACTCTAGGCTAATCTTTTTCAGAAACACCTTTGGTTATATAGACATAACCTATGAATAGACCTATGAGCATCTCCCATGAGCTTGAATGGGAAAAAGTCATGAAAATATTGCATATAACATAAAAGCCTAACAAGCTGAAAACCATAAATAGTAATTTTCTTATATATATATATATCTATATATATCTATATATATATCTATATATATCTATATATATATATATATATATATATATATATATATATATATATATATATATATATATATATATATATATATATATATATATATATATATATATATATATATATATACACACACATATATACATATATATATATATATGACAAGTCCCTCGATTGAAAATAAACGTTAGCTGATGATTAGTTCACATTAGCTGTAGTTTATTTATTTATTTATTTACTTTTAAGAACGTTTTTTAAAACCAGCTGATTGACACGTACCTGCACAGTTACTTAGCAACGCCAAAACTTGGTCGACCAATCAGAGGGCTGGATTGGCGCATTGATACACAAGACTGTAAAGGAGTGGAGACATTTGGTCCTTTTGCGATGCCTGTGCGACAGTTTGGTAAATATATTAAGTGCGTGTTTACTTTTTATTACTTACTGAATTATACTGTTAATTCAGTTTTGACTGTCAGCTGAAACGCTGTTGCTACAGGGGTGGTATTTCTCCCCCGGCTGTGTGTGCCTAGCTGTCAGTGGGCTGTACTTCGGCTTTATAAAACAGGCGTGTCAGCTGCGAGTCCAGTGGTTTGTTTTATCCGGCGTCCCATGTGTGTTTCTCAGCGGTGGATTATGTGGAGGTGTCTACCAAGTTAACCTTAAGTTTTTCGGACTATAACGCTGCATGCTTTCAGAGCCGAATTTTGGAAACGTATGTATCACTTTGATGTCGATATTTTATTCGTTTGTTGTCCGCACCACGTTAAAATTTCTGCGAGCGGATGTTTTTTTTTTTTTTTTTTTTTTTTTTTTTTTTTAAAGTTCTCAGAGGTGTTATCTCGATCCATCTGTGCTGTGTTTCCTTAGAAACCATCTGTGTGTAAAATTAAAAAGTGAATGTACACGTAACGGATAAGTATTGTTCGTAAAATGTTCCTGCGTTTGACCTATTTCGTGACACTAAAGGTTGTGAGATATGTTCACTGGCTGAAGTAAACAGACCCATCGTTTGTCTGTGGGTTCGCTGGAATAAAAGGCAGGCTCGAGCTGACTTTTCTAGAAGCCTCACGCGCTCTGTGCTTTTCTTTGAAACGCAGCGCGAGCAGCTTCCCTCGTGCACCGCTTCAATGGGGTCACCGTTTCACCCATATGTTTCACCAATATGTGTCACCCAAATGTATCACCCATATGTTTCATCTCGGTGCCCATTCGCTCACGGCTGCGTGTGTTTCAGCCTGCGCTATTCATCTACAGTAAAGTGAATGCCATTCCGCTATCTCCCGTGGTGCACAAACCTCATGAGTCGCTGTAGAAAATTTTGATCAATACAGTGGTGTGCTTTTGCCCTTTAAGATAATGGTCAAGAACAATAAAACGACACAAAAATAACTACCTTTATGTTCGCGCTGCTCCAGAGTACCACAAAACCGTTATAGTTTTAGTGAGCTATCCCCAGGGCTGTGCTAGGTTGAGTCCGTTACTATTACTTAATTTGGGCTTTTGGAAATGACTGTTCTACTCGTGTCTGATATGTCCATGTATAGAGATGAGAACTAGAGATGAGCTAACCAGGCCTACTGCTCGTGGTGACTTCAAAACTCCCTTTTTCATGTCATTTAAAGTTATCTGACTGTTACAGAGAAAGGGCATGTTTATTTTATGTAGCCTATGTTATATTTTATGCACATTAAAGTTTAAGCTCTACAAATCCACTTGGCACAAATCTAGTGATGACATCTGTGAGTGGTTGCTGTGTGTTAACCCTGTCCTGTCTGTTCCAGGTATCCTGTGATCACTGCTATGATGGAGAACAGTATGGAGGCTAAGCCTTGCAGCGTTAGTGTTCTGTCCTGGGAGCAGGTGAGCCGCCTGGACCATGTGTTGTCTGAGGTGGTGCCAGTGCACGGCAGAGGGAACTTCCCCACGTTAGAGGTGCGTCTGAAGGACATAGTGTCTCGTGTGCGTGCCCGCCTGGAGCGCAGCGGGATCAGGGTCAAAGACATGCGCCTCAATGGCTCCACTGCCAGCCATGTGCTTGTGCAGGACATGGGCTGGAGCTACAAAGACTTGGACGTGATCTTCAGAGTGGACCTGCCCCACGAGGCTGAGTTCCAGCTCATAAAGGAGGTGGTGCTGGGCACGCTGCTGGACTTCCTGCCTGAGGGCGTGAACAAGGAGAAGATCACGCCCATGACGCTGAAGGAGGCCTATGTGCAGAAGCTGGTCAAGGTGCACACGGAGCAGGACCGCTGGAGCCTCATCTCGCTGTCCAACAACAATGGACGCAATGTGGAGCTCAAGTTTGTGGACTCCATCCGGCGGCAGTTTGAGTTCAGCGTAGATTCGTTTCAGATTATCCTGGACTCAATGTTGTCCTTCTATGACCTGTCCACAGAGCCCATGTCTTCGGAGGTCCACCCACGCATACAGGGCGAAAGTGTGTATGGGGACTTTGACGTCGCTCTAAGCCACCTCAAAAACAAACTGATCGCCACCAAGCGCCCCGAGGAAATCCGGGGTGGGGGCCTTCTCAAATACTGCAACCTGCTGGTGCGGGACTTCCGGCCGGCTGACGAGGAGGAGTTCAAAGCCCTGGAGCGCTACATGTGCTCGCGCTTCTTCATTGACTTCCCGGACATTAGCGAGCAGCAGCGCAAAGTGGAGGCGTACCTACAGAGCCACTTTGTGGGTGAGGAAAAGAGCAAGTACGAGTACCTGATGCTGCTGCGGCGCGTAGTGAACGAGAGCACAGTGTGTCTGATGGGCCATGAGAGAAGGCAGACCCTGCACCTCATCTCCCTCATGGCTTTCAGGGTGCTGGCCGAGCAGAACGCCATCCCCGACGCCTCCTGTGTTACTTGCTACTACCAGCCCGCGCCATACGTACGAGACCACAACTTCAGCAACTACTACGTGGCCAACCAGAACATTCCCACATGGCTGCCATGTAACTGAGCACGCCAGACGAGAACGGACGCTACTCCCACTTCACATTCAAGGGAAGAAGTTTAAGAAAAAACTCCCAAAAAAAGTTGGCAATAAATGCTTTGTTTCTCAAGGCTCAAATCTATTTAAGTGGACACGTGTTTGCTTTGTTTTTGGGATATTTTCTCATTCCTTTACACAGGGCGCTCTCGGTCTTTGGACAAATTTAATACTTTTAAGTGTTTATTTGCCCTTTTTTCCTTCCCTTTTTTCAACTCATTTGTGTTTTCCCTACTCTTAAAAGAGCTGTTTGTGCCTTAACTTCCAAGTTTACCCCCAATATATTTTGTTTTGGGAATTGTTTTGTGACGAAGAAAAGTAAAGGAAATGCCTTAAATTTGGTTTCTCCTGTGGACAAAATACAAAAAAATGTGAAAATCGTGAAAAAGTGACGTTGGAGAGTTGGTAGGCAAAAATATCTGTGCACTGGTGTAAAAGCTGATCTGAAGTTGTGTTGAGTTCACTGTGAGACACTTAAAACAATGAGAGAAATATGAGATGTAAATATTCCGCAGTGCTCCTTTACCACTGTGAATGTAGCGCCTAGCAAGTGGCCTTTAGCGAGGGCCTCTGCTGGACAGCGTCTGCCTGTGGCGGCCGACTGTCTTCCCTTAAAAGGAGCAGCACATGGTGAGACGCAGGGCTGCCCTCTGCCTCTGGCCCACTCCACAGCCTCTGACGGAGGCTATAATTATCCAGGCTCTGGCACTTGGGGGGAGTTCCCTTCCTGTGCATCCTCTCCCCTTTTGTGGTCATGGCTAGACAGAGCTGCAGGGAGCGGGCCTGCGTACCTCGAGGCCCTCTTTGGGACTTGTATCTGATTTATTGTGGATGCCAGGGCATTCTGGAGCTGCAGACCCCCGACAGCAGAGTTTGTGACGAGGATGCACTTCTATTTCAGCCGCTTCTATTATTAGACGTCACATTTGAACATTGCAGCGTGGCCCTGGTCACACATGCTCTGGGCTCTGCCTATACAGTGCCTTAAGACAGTGTGGTCATGTGAACGGTCAGTGAGAAATGCCTTAATGTTTACAGTCCCGCTCAAATCCATCCACTGTGTTTACAAAAGGTCAGTGCAGATGAGAGCTGGCCCCTCACATCTCCACACTGTCTCCCAGACACGCTCCACATGCATTAGCTGGTGTTGTGTTTACAGCTGATAAGGGCGCCCTCGGGCCTGTGTTATCGGGCCTTTATGCACTGTCCTGGGGCGGTCAGCTCGCCTGCAGGTCACACCCTAGGGTCAGGGCAGGCTGCTGTGCTCCCAACCAGCAATTCAAGTGCCTTTCAGAAGTGACTTAGTTTTTATGGGATTGTTTTAAATAAAAGGGATTTAAATAAGTGTAAACTGGAAAAAAACAAGATGAAATATGGGGGGTGTTTTTTACTTTTATTTTTGTCTTTTAGTTTCTGTATGTGTCTAGTCATTCCCACCTTTCTTATCCCTGTTGTGGTCTTGTATGTAGCCTTTGTAAAACTCTTCCCTGCCTCGGCCTAATGTAAAGTAAACAAAGCAATATCTGAAGTGCACTGACAGGTCCCAGGACAACTTTGTGCACCATGAGGGAGGGACGTATAAGCTATAAACCTGGGGACGGAGAGGGAAAAGAGAAAGAGGAAGAGGGGAGAGGAGGAGGAGGAGAGGCACTGCGTCTCAGGGACATCATGGAGGGCGAGCTTTTGTCCCTTTTCTTTTAATTTGAGGAGTTGATTCATGTCCGATTCAATGGACATGGTTATGGTTTAGACTGAGGTTACTTCATACAGGTTTGTGTATCTTTGCGGTCATTTACTCAAACAGTTCAACCCAATTTGTTTAAAAAAAGAAAAAAATGTGTGTGGGGGAGAAAAAAAAAAATGAAGCCTAGTTTTTCAAAGTGGTGGTGCCAGTTTTCACAATTGTCACAAACCAGCTCAGACACTGCCAGTTGAAGTTCCTCAGCCTCACCTCTAGTTGGCGTTGTACGTTTTTAAAAGTATGACGTCAAAGGAAATGCATTCTTGTGTTTTCTAGATGCTCTCACACAGAGTAAGGTTATCCCTCCTCTAAAAGATGTTTACGGTTTATCACCTGACTTAACCTGAGCATTATTGCCCCATTCTTTTGCAACCAAGGGCATATTCAGTCAGGACTGTGTAAGTGTATTTGTAGAGAAGAACAATGTGGAAAACCATGAGGATAAGGTGTGTTTTTTGTTTTTGGTTTTTGTTTTGTTTAGTGTTTTTTTTGTTTTTTTTTGTTTTAGTTTTCCGCCCCCACTTTTTTTTTCTTTCCTGCTGTTCATTTGTCAGTGTTATTTGAACCCGGTAGCTTCCCCACTCCCAGTGCTGGACATCCCGCTGGAGGAGGTCCTCAGTGCAGAGTGTCTCATTTTGGACGCCTGTTTAGGTGTTTTGTTTTGGGAGCGATGGGGTATACGTTGGGGACATTTTTGATGGTCTGTGCTTGTCTGGAGTACAAGTCTTAAACCAAGAGGATGTATTGGAGGTGGTTGTGTATAAAATGTTAAGTTTTCCTCCTTGTGCAGCAGATTGTGTTTACGTTGATGCGTGGAAATGTGTGTGCTTCATTTGCATGTGTGTATGAGGGGCATGCCTGTGGAGAAGTTTATTAAAAAAGTGGGGATTAATATGAAATTTGTCGCACTATATATTTTTTGAAATGCAAGAAGAGCTTATTTTGTCGGCTTTGTGATTGTGACAATGACTTTTGATGGTACAACCATTTATACCATTTCATTTTCAGCACTTTTACCTCACTTGAGTTTTTCCTTTTGGATGGAAATGTACATGTACATCAGGAAAATGTGTTTGAAGAAAAGAATCATGAATAAAAAGATACAATGCAAAGTATATATGTTTTTGTCTTTAAAGCACAGGGTACACTCTTAAGTAAAAGGGCTGATCATTGTCATGTTAACACTTACTGGTTTTAACTTTAGCATTGTAAAGCAAGCTACACACTTTGGTTCTATACTACATAATGATACTTCAAAGCCTCTATTTCCTTTAGTTTGTTGATGTACTTCTCCAAATTAGTATATTGGCCACTAGTCAGGACAGTATTCAAATGTCAAACACCATTTTGATATAAAAGTATGGAAATTGTTTTTGTTGTACAATTTCAACGTGTTTGAAGTTTTAAATTTAGTTAGACATAAATTTTCAGTACACATATTTAGAAGTCCATTAACAGTAAAAATGTGTGATGGTGAAATCCGCAGAGAAAAAATTCACACCAAGGATCCAAGATGCCAAGATCTAAGCAACTGAGCCTAAGTGAGTGGATCTAAATGATGAATTTGTTACTGCTTTGCCTGTACTGTTCCCCAGTATGGCAGCAATGCATTGTTGATTCAATTGCAGCTGTTTTATTGCCAAAAATCTCTTGCTTGGTGGAGTTTCCTTAATTGTGATTTGTTACACTGATCACACATTTGTGGACCAAATGTTTCATCATTCTCTAGCCCGTGGATTATTTGACCTACAAATCAAATCTACTACAAAACTCCTTACTAGTACAAAGAAAATGTACTCATGATAAACAATGAGCCCTAAATAATGTTCTAGCTTTCATATATTGACCAATAAGTCCATAAAATAATTATCATGACAGGCCTCCAGAGGAGTTTTCCGTGCCCGAGGCGGTGGTTAGTGGTGGTGAGCTAGCCGTGAGTGGAAAAGTGCCTTCCGTTCCAGCACTTTTTTATTGGGTCATAACGTCTGACAGAGCTGCTGCTGTGAACATAGAGCTGCAGGACTTCAAACTCTTTGACTCAGCTGACCTCCAGGCCCATGACATGACTCAACTTATTATTTTATATGAATATTTGAGAGCTTTAAATATGTAGTGGATATTAAAGGTGCAATGGGGTGGATGGAGAAGCCAAAATTTGGACTTAAGCAAGTTTACTGTTACTTTGATGTATTACTTAGAAAAGATAAATCACAAAAAGAACAACTATATAATATCTGAACTAATGGGGAATAAACACATGCTCAAACAACCTGTTATACTTGGAGTGAGAAAGAGTAACCACACCTGTTCCTCAAGTAAGAGTAATCCTACTGTCAAGTGTATTACTCAAGTACGAGTATAGTGTTTGAAAACTGACCAATTATAGCTGAAGGAACAACATTTTCATGGAAACAAGCAGGAGGACTCCCTCCACCAGACCAATGAGAGTCAGTTTTGTGGAGGAGAAAGCCCGCTCACATTAAAGACACGTTTTTCTATATATTTCAGTGCAATAAAAACAACCAAAATGAAACAACAACAACATGCTTTTATTTTGGTCTTTGGCTAAAAAGCTATTTACTGTGGTCATATAAATTTTTAATCTAAACATAGGAAAGGAAAATATTTCACAACCGACTTCAAACTAATTTTAGCTGAAACAGAGCCTGAATTGGCTACATAATTCCTTACATTTGCTAGCTTTGAATTTGATTGCACTTGCTAAATGTTACTCCCGAGACACTAAACAAACAGAATGCAGCGTTATTTGTTTTGCACAGTGGGTAACGTGTTGATTAAGATGTGGAAATCCCTGTGTGCGTAATACCTTACTGTACATAACCCGCTCCTCCTCCTCCTCTCTGGCAGGTGTCTGCTCCTGTCACGCTCCTGTCATTTACAGCACTAACACAATAGCACACAGTCTTATCTGTAGGCCAGAGTCACTGCTCCATCAGTGACCATGCTGTTCATGCTGTTTTTGAGTATTTAAAGATATAGACCAATATGAAATACACAGCCTTATATCTGTCTGACGTGAGGAGCTAGCTTCAGATCATTCTTTAAAGTGATATAAGTACAGTCTGTGGATATAAGGCAAAGTCCCACAAGAACCTGACCAGATTGAAGAAGCTACTTGGATGAGTGGCAAAACATATTCACTCTAAAACTTTTGTCCAGTAGACAAAATTTTATATCCTTTTGCTATGGATCCTACCTGGATGACGAAAGAATTACACTGACATTCTTGGTTCAGATGAGGCTACCTAATTTGTTTTGCTACCTAAAATGGTTTGGGGGTCTTATGGCATTTGGGTACTCTGCATTGTCTTGCTTGTGGTTAGAAAATGCCCAGAGAGCAGTCATTTTTGTTTAACTTGCAAATTAGCACCTGATATGTTTTCTGTCCGAACAAACCAGCTGGAAGTGTCAACGTGGAAGTGTAAGGCCCCCTGGGACATGAGTCTGTTTGGGTTTCAGTGTGTAGCACGGTGATGGTGAGTCGTTCACTGTTGAAAAGACACAAGACAGAGATGGAAGGAACAAAGGTGAAGAGGTGCTGGTTCTTGATGAGGATAATCATGGAGGACATGTATAGATGACCTGATAGAGAAAGTGAAGTATGACTGTATGAGACAAGAGGATGCAGGGCTGGAGTTGAAAAGTTCCACAATATGGCATTACGTAATCTGGTCAGATCTGTATTGATTGTATCTCATTGATTACATAAAAGATATACAATAACATAATACCCATGGAGACAAGCAGGTGTCAGACCCCTGCCTGAAAAATTACATGATGCATCTTTAATGATTTGCAATAGTCAGTATTAATTATCTGTTTGAGTAATTATTTGATTAACAAACTGAACTTAGTCAGATCAAGTTGCATTAGGTTTGTCTGCTCCACCCACAAACAGATCAACATCGGCCGCCCTATACAAATAATTAGATTATGAAGGACTCTGGAACTTTGGGAAGTCTAGATAAATAAATCCATGATGCAAAAGTAACAAAGCTTAATGCACCAGTTCATCTTACTACCCTGGCACTATTAGTTAAAATATGTCCTAAACTAACTGTATGTACTTGCTTCTCTTACACAGCTAATATGAAAATGAATATTTGTATAGGCCTAGATTACTGACTGCTGAATAATTCACCATTTCTATCCTTGTCATATTATTGCTTTAGTGTCTTCTTAACCAAAAACATACAGTGTATTGATTGTAAATGAGTACTCAAGGCAAAACTGCATTTAGCATAATTGTACTATTGTATCATTGATGCCAACATTAACTTTGATAGCATTTTTTTCAGAGAGAGAATGTATTGGTCCTTCTCTGACCTTTGCTGACTTTTCCATGCAAACCACTCACATATACACAAAGGCCTCCCTCCATCTTTGTTTTTTTTTTGTTTTTTGTTTTTTTTTTTGGTGTTTTTTGTTTAGTTTTTTTGGGTTTTCTCTGGAAAATACTGCTTCAAGTCCTCTGCCCTTCAGGGACAATAGCCAGAGTACAGTACACGTATAGGCCTCTCAGTGTAGTAGAACCGTTTTGTATTCAGTTTCTGTGATGGGATGTTAATATAGACTAGACTAATATAGACTTTGCAGTGACATCATGCCGGGGGGGGTTCTACATGCAATTCTCTATTGGTATTGCAGCTGTAGATGACTGAAGGTTTTTCATTCTGCACTCTTCTCTCTCATTTAATGTCTCTCTTTTTTTTCAATTTCTTGCTGATTATTTATGCTTTCATTATATATTGATGTTTTTGTTTGTATTGTGATTTTAATGTATTTGTTATTCTGTAAAGCACTTTTAATTACTTTGTGTGTATGAATTGTGCAAATAAACTTGTCTTGCCTTGGTAGAATGTTCAGCAGTTTCCATGGTGACAGAAGCAAGGCTGTTAGTCTGCGCCATTGGCCCTTCTGACCACCACCAACACACACGCACACACACCACACACTAGGCAATGTGGGTAAAGTGTCTTGCCTAAGGACACAACGACAATGTTGGTACCTTACTGTGGCACCTGAGACACTCAGCGGTCTCCCATCCCATCCCATCAAGTACTGCCCAGGCCCTGCTTCTGAGATCTGCTGATAGCAAGCTTTGACAAAGAGGTTTGGCCACAATGATGCCATCAGCTGCAAAGTATCAACTGTCAAATTATTGTATGTCTGTGGTGCTACACGTATGGCTACTACAGATGAGCTGTAGGGCGAGACAGACCATCGAGTCTGTTCTTGTTGGCAAATGCAGCTGCCATCTTGTCACTATAAGAGCAGCATTCTTTAAGGCTATTTAATATATTTTTTTCAACTTGCCAAATTGTCAGTGCATGCTTTGATTAAGACCTAGACTAATCTAACCTAAATTACCTACTTAACAGTACAATAGTACAAAAGTAATAATACAATAGTACAAGTACAATAGAAAACTATGCGTGCAACACTAGATCTGAAAGTGTGAGATGGCCTAGTATTACCTTATGTACATTGTTATGGACTGTTTTACTGCTTCTCATGAAATACCGCTTCAAAATGTCAATCAATGTATAAAAATAAAACTCTAAAATCCATAGGTCCAGATGCAGTGTTCATTTGAGTCCATATATCTTGTGAGTGACCTGAGAGTGAGGGCACGGAGCTGCATGTGCTGGCTGTAAACACAGGACAACCTCTGCTCCTTCTATCTGCAGCTAGAACTGATTTTGGACATTTTTAAACTGACTGTAACACATTGTTTTCATTACAGACACCCGGTTCTTAAAAGACAAGTGAAGTGGACTGATCACCTGCCAGAATCAAATAAATAATGCTTTTCTCAAAATATTACAGTTAAAGTGACTTACTATATGAAATAATAAACACTGAACTCTTACTTTTTGTTATAAATCCTGCTGTGTTATGTGTGTCGGAAATCCAAACTTTGTGGTTCAGCTGAAGTGTCCCCTCATAAAATGTTATTTGTTGTTGAATGTAGTTCATCCAAGTCAAACATGTTTAACTGGAAATCTATCCTCATAAAATCTAACTTTGTGCTTAGTAAAACTCTGGTGGCTTCTATTAGAGCTCTCTATTTGAGTTTGTTTTTGAATGAACACACAGTTATCAGAGAAGCATATCCCCAGATCTGACCTTTAACTTGGCCTTGTGGTCCCTAGTTAAATTGATCTTGACACTTTTGCTTCACAAGAAAGTCTAAATTTGACTTTCAAAAATGTATTACCTTGAGTCTAGTCTATACCTTGTGAAACTTAAGCAGCTATTGGCCACACCCATATTTCACTGTAGGGTTAGGAAATTCTCATACTGACTGATTGATGCTTTTGAATTTCCTATTATCCTTTCCTAATTTATTAATTTCCTAAAAATAAACACTAGAGACTAACTGATTGATGTAGTACAGATTGTCAAATGTTTTCCTCAAGTCTGAACTTTGCTCAAGCCACATGCTTTTACTCACATAAAACTGTAGACCTCTCCACAAACTTAACGTATTTGACCTAATGGTGACTTCCTGCTTGTGTCCATGGAAATGTCCCTTTGCCTGTAATCTTTCACAGTATGGCATGAACCTTATTTATCTCCATGGAAAATGGTTTTATCTTTGTTTCCACGGATACATGCAGGTGACATGCCACGTCTGCAAAGTTACATAGTGTACCTTTTAAAAGAGCTGATCAATGACAATTGCTAATAACTCAATATCAGTCAGAATGGTTTGAAATGTGATCAGTTGTACATCCATTTTCTCTGCTCCTCTGTTTTGCAACTTGACCCTTTCTATAGCAGATGTTTAAGGATGTCTCTGTGTCCTATGTGTCTCTGTGTCCTTATATTGGACTTTGTCTGACAGGATGCCCACAATAGCGCAGTGTGAAGTGGAGCAGCTTGTCCAAACAGATCGATGGAGCTCTAACAGGTGTGAGGGCTGTGGCCGAAACAGAGAAACTTAACTGAAAGGACATGAATTTACATACAGCCTTGGGACACTTACCAGAACTACCATGACTAACTGACATCATGTACTCTTCTGTGTTCAGTATGTGTATCAGCACAAGTAAAAACACAGTAGGAACAGTATGTCGATTGATTATATGATTGTGTATCTTAATTGATGTCAGAGGCTGATTCCCTCTGTTCTCTAATCAATGGAGCTGTTCTGTAATGATATGGTAACTGTAGTTTGTGTACAATGGAATACCCAGCTTCATTCATTATAATGGACATTTGGTACATTTGTGAAGTGTAGTCTAGTCTGTGTGATTATTTTTTAACATAGGGGTAAAAATAAAATAATACTTTATATTATAAATAAATTAATAATAATAATAATAATAATAATAATATAATATAATATAATAAATCTATATGTTTATTTATATATCATGTTTACTTCCTAGTACAACTTCTGCTGTGTTCTACAAGGTCAAGCAGTAAAAGTTCACATTTTATAGGCCTGTACTGTAGGTTGTTGACAGAAGTGTAAAATAATATTTGCTTGTCTTGTATTACACAACACTGGAAACTGTGTAATTATGTATGCAGGCTACTCCGGGTTCACTGTCTTACAGGAAGAAGAGGAGGTGGCATTCTAGTTACGCGTATCTGATTCCCAGCATATTTATACTTTGCATCTGACGTCATTAACATTCCCTGAGGGAGTGTGATGCTAACTTTAAGCGTTGCTCTGTCTGAAGCTCTGATATTCGATTTAGACTTTAATCTGATCTTTAATGTGACCCAATTTGACTAGAAAGAGTTGAGCTGGAACTATAAAAGGTGAGCTTCAAATTGCACTTACAAGATTATTGAAAATCAAACACCTAAACAGGACCATGAATGCTTGTATTGATCCAGGTTCCTGAAAACATGTTGTTTAAATCCATTTTGTATTTTTTCTTGAGCTTTTAGACAATCTTAAAATGATTTTGGCTGTGTGTTTGCTAATGTGTGTATTGTGTCATCATGATAACTTCCAAGCATTCAGCCGTACACCTACATGTAGAACACCCAGTTTGTTTGATGTATCAGCAGATAACCTTTGAGCTTTGACAGGGTTATCCTACGGAAACTAATGGAATCAGCCTTGAACTTGTGCTGACAAATATGATCACACAAGGTAAGAGTTTAGTTGGTTTGTTATGTAAAAGATTGCGCTCTAGTCTTGTTGAATGTGATTTTTATAATTGTTTTAGGTCAAGTTTTAAAGTTTGTAATTTAATCCAAGCAGAAAAAAATTCCATCCCTTGTACAAGTCCCAAGACAGAATAAATCCTGAATGAAAATCCCCTTGCACAGAAGCCATGCAAAATCAAAATGCTAGGTTATGTAAATTGTAAATGTGAACTTTTAGTGTTTGTACTCCATAAAAAGCTCTGGTGCAGTTTAACGGGAACTGAAAGTAGAATTGAAATAAATGTTTTTATTGCAGTCATGTTGTTGTTCATTTCCTTTATATATATATATATATATATATATATATATATATATATATATATATATATATATATATATATATATATATATATATATGAAGAGATGGAAGAAAGTATGCTGTCATTATAAATCCAGCTGTGACATGTAATTTATCCATTTTCTGTCATATATTACAATACATATGACAGAAAATGGATAAAACTGTAAGCGATGTAAGATTTATGAGATTTAGCGGCAAGAGAAATTCTGTGTTTACCTGCGGACTGTTTGTTTGCAGACCCTTTTTCTGTAAAGCGGGGACAGATTTCAGACTCCAGTCGGTAAGCACTAGATCAGATCTATGGTGGATTGGATTATTTTGTTACGTTAAAGCAACACAGTGTAACTTTCTGAAGGTAGCACCACCATGGCAGAATTGCATGGAAATTCTAAGGCCAAAGGTACAATATTTCCATGGAAACAGGCAGGAAACAAGCCCTCTTCCAGGCAAATAAGAGTCCTTCCTGTGGAGATGCAAGTCTGCCTCAGTCAGGAGTCAGATACAGGTTTTTCTACATTTTTCAGTGCAATAAAAACAATCAACATAATCTTTTCCTTGTTAATATACACTAGCACTAGACAGTACTATCAAGTGTAACCTTGTGCTTCATGTTTAAGCAGCTAATCCCTAAATGTCACAGCGTACGGTCTGTAGACGATGGATTTGCTCCTCCACTGTCCTCTGCTTCATTTACACCGGACACTCAGCATCCCCTACCCCCCCGCCCCTCCTCCCATAATCCACCAGGATGGGGATTAGCACAGGGGTCACAGTGGTCAGTGTCAGAGATGTGGAAACAAAGGACGCCACTTTTTAATCAGCGCTGGGACACTTCACTTCTTGGAATAGGTGCTGTTTTTTCTGAGAAGGAGCAGAGGGAATGATGGGAAAATGCACACAGTAACACCTGCCACTGTGGTCCATGTTCAGAGCAAAATGAGCAGGTACCAGTGTGTTTGAGGTACAAGTATGAGCCTCGTGTCACTGTCTTACGTGAAGGTAAACAGTGAGCCACCTGCTTGCACTGGGGCACTTTATCACACGTGCAGTTTGTTGTCAGCATCAAGAGATTACCAATGTTTATTACAGGCTTAGGCTTTGTACGCAGGAAATTAAAGTTTTTAGCTAAGAAAAATACATTTGGTTGAATTTATTGTGCTGAAAAAATAAAACAGACTCTTATTTGGTCTGCTTTTTTCCGTGGAGCAGTTGTTCCTTTGGCTATATTTTCCACAGTATGGCATAAAACTTACTGTATCTATCTCTATGGAGACTGTTCCAAAGTCTGGTTTAACTTTCTATTTCTGTGGAATCGTGCAGGTGATGTGCCACTTCCAGAAAGTTACTGTACCTTTAAAGCAAGCAAAATCACTCTAATAGCAGGGGAGCTCTATACAGTTTTAATAAGTGACTAATTCACTCTGGGTGTACACATTGAAAATGAATTATGAGTTGTCTTCTGAGTTTTGTTGAGGTATTTCTACAAAATCTAACAACAAAGCATTTATCTTATAGAAGAAATTAATAATGGAAGAATGATGATGATGAAATGTGTTATTTTTATTATTACATTTATCATTATTTTTGTGGTCTTTCCTATGTGGTTAATTATGAAATGTTTTGTCCTTCCAGTTATCTCAGATTTTACACCCTGAAAGTTTGTCTTACTTCAGAAGTAGTTTCCCCAAATACTTTTAACTCTGGGCCACTTATTTTGTATTTTTATTTGAGTAATTGTATTTTGAAGTAACAATGCTCTTTCTTTATACACCATTATTAATTCACTCCCCATTCTTGCCTGTATCTCTCTAATTACAAAGATCATAACAGATACAAACTATCAATACAATAAAAGCGGAGTTGTTTGCAGTTAACACTAATAAATATGGGCTTTCAATAGATAACACATGATTGAAATATTAGGTAATTCTCTCTATTAACTAGATAAGTGTGTTCTTTTGTACAGGCTGTGGTTCTGGCTGCCTCTCTCTCTTCTGCTTTTACTTATTCTCAGTCTCTCTTTCTCTGTCTCCACTATGTGAGTATGTGTGATTGATTAGTTTGTCTCTATAACGGTCAGCTGACGTAACCGTAAACTCAGTTCTGTTTTATGGTCTTATGATTAAAAAACTATCACATGCTCACTTGTTGTATTGCTGACATGTGGACTTGTGTTGTCATCAGTGGCTTACATAATTTGTCTTTCTGCACAGTTCCACCCTGATTTACACTTTCCATAAGCAGTTAGGAATGTATTTATAGTGTGTTTACTAAAAGCTTTATTAGTTTTCTGATTGGATAATTCGCTGGAGAATCAAAATAAAAATGTAAACATAAAAAAAAAAAAAAAGTAAAAATTCAGTCTAAAAATGTGAATTCAATGTTTCTTTTATCAGTAAAATCTACAAATAAATTCACAGACTGGTAATGTTGCTTATACAGTACAAATATATAAATACAAAAATTACTTTTAATCAGTTGTGTTAAAAAACTGTTTATTGTGTTCATCCTTTTCTTCAGCACTTAAAATAAACTAAATAATAATATTACAAATAAACAAGATTTGGCTCATTATAGTTCATATTTACATTCAGAAATATTCACAATTAGACAACACAACTGGATCAGAACATGATTCAATGAGTGAGTACCAAGGCCAGTGTAAAAGAAACATTTGTGGTGTTTAATCTATGGGAGAAATTAGTATAAATGCTTTTTGGTAGTGTGATAATGTCTGTTTTATGCCAAATAATAGATCTTCAGAGATACCTTCAGAGGTGAACAGGAATGCATTTCACTCTTGAACAATGATATGTGATGGTTCAATCCTCATGTTTTCAGTTACTTCTCAGAAAGAGCACAAAGAGAAACTACAGCAAAGCAGCTCAATAATTATTACAACCAGCATTTTATGCTGGAATGAGCCGTTAATTTACAAACTGATTACAAAGTGATTGCATAGAAATCACTGTTGAAAATATTGACACATTTCTTATAATTTTCTGTTTTATGATTAGGTATTTAGTTGACTTCAAAGAAAGAAGACCTCTTGGATTAGTTAGTGTCCCTTTAGTGGAATGTTTTACTTTTTCCAAATGTACATCTGAGTCAAATTAACTGTTGTCCACATAAAACAAATGAAATGGGTTATAAATAAATGACAAAATTCATCTAGGATTTTCCACGTGAAAAGTTTTACTCCACACCCTGTCTGAGCCTTCACTGCTGCACTATCCCACTGTTTGATCTGAACCAGACCCAGGTGTAAAACGTGCAGAAAATTCCACTTCTGGCCAGAACCTTTTCATTTATTTTTTACAGTTTGGGTCTGAAACAAAATCTTACAGAGAGGATTGACCATAGGGCCATAATAAATCCATGGAAGGGACACTGCCTGTAGTATCAATGTATCGGAAACCAGATAAACTGTTCAGGAAATTTAGTGTAAGTATTCACTTGAGTATTATCAGAGTATAAAATCTCATGGTAACAAATAAATTATTTTGTACTATTACATAATTACATTATATTGCTAAAAAAAGGTTTTATCTTCATTATGGTATTGTAATTGGTATCGGGTAATGATTTAATTCCTTAGTATTGAAATAGTGTTTGAAATTTTAGTCTTGTGACACACGACTGCCTGCTTCCTTTTAGCTATAAAGCTCAGGATTCAGTCTCACATCTCCTAGACTTTTTAATTTAGCTTAATGTTAAACCAATGTAGATTTTAAGATGCTAAACAATAAATTCATTTAAAAGCACACTATCACTATAAAGTCATAAATGTTTTTACCTGTAGTGACCAGTGAGCTAATTGCATGTTTGTGTACTTTTTTTTTTTAACCTAATGTATCTCTGTGGACATTTTTCATACTTGCTTCAAACATGGAGAATTTCCATGGTAATGCTTTTGGAGTCGTATTGCTGAAAAAGAGTTGACTTTGGTAACTTCTGTGTTTTTTAAACTGCAGTGATCAAAGGCATGTACAACCTCTGATATGTGTTACTAATGTATCTGAAACAGTACCCTGCAAAGAACAAAGTGTGCACCAGAGTTACAGGTGAGTACTGGCCCTGCAACAACAGCAGCAGAAGTTAGTGAGACAGTTTCTCATCTGCTGTATGTGACCGAGGGAGAGGGATCGTTCAGAACATAATGTGTCCTCTTCTTCCTGTTTGGATGATGCAGATTGGTTCAGACAGCTGTAATGTTCCCACATCTAAGTCCAGCACATGGATCCTCTCTGTGAGTCCCATAGAAAGTGTATTGAGCAACAGTGCATCATAGTTTCATATTTAGACATGTCTGAGGATAAGAGCTTTCGGTGTAAGGCAGAAACCAGTGTGGTCCTTAAATCTTCTGCAGTGGAGACAGCTCTGCGCAGCCGCACGTTGCTAAACACAGGCTGTGGGTTACCTCTGTCTCATCAGCACAGACAAAGAGACAGAGACAGTCCCAAAGACTCCTGAGGTCCACTGCAGTGTGACAGCCCACTGTGTCACAGGCCAGAGGACTGCGGTCTGCTATAAGGCCCATTTACCTGAGGAGATAGCAGAGAGATCACATAAAGAGACAAAACAAGAGATTCAGATTCACTATCATTTAATTGGTAGTTTTCAGATTCTAGTATGCAAAGATGTCATACTGCCAGATGCAGGGCAAGAGCAGATTTTAACTGTTGGTTACTTTGTACTTTGCCATGAAATATCCAAAAGATGAATTCACAAATGCTTAACCTATTAGTGACTAAATGCAAGAATACATTTCAAGAATATTAATTTTAGCTGCCCTCCATCTGTATTAGATAGTATTGGCTAATAGGATGCTGTGATGCCATCTGAAACCCAGCAATAAAATCAGTTTTATTTATATTATGGTTAATTTTCTGAACAGAAGTTTAGAAATACAACTATTTTTGTTTGGTGTAAAATCTTATAGTTAATACTAAAAGTCTAAATGTAGACAAGTTAAAGAGAAAGTAATCCATATGTTTAGTTCATAAAAACACTGGACAGACACCCTAACAACTAAGAATTAAATCTACCCAAATGAATCTTCCTAACAAACTCAAACCTAAATAAAATCCAGTGAAAGCCCAAGACACAATAGCAACTAAAGCAACCAGATGCAGTTTGGTCCAAAAACACATTTTTTAACAATCAGCCAAAAACACTGACTCAACTACAAATCACCAAAACGACAAGAAGTCCAACGCCAGCCAATCAGAGCACAGCAGGTCTACAGACAGCAAGTTTGTACTGAGTGCCCTTTAACAGGTAGATTTAACTCTCCTTCTTCTTTCCTTTCCTTGTAAGATATTCAAAGGAGGCAAGAATGACCCAAAATGTGGCAATTTCTCCAGTAATCAAATGTCACCTAAATAACACTACTTGTTGCTTGTTGTTTGTATTTACTGGAAGTAGAGGAGAGAGAGATAAGGTTTTCATTAAGACACAATGGGTTTCGTTGGCTGTGAATCTGTGCTTCCAGTAAACCTTTTGACAACAGCGTATCAGATTTACTTTTCTCCCAACAGCAGCACAAAGCCTTGTTCTTCCACAAAGGGAAGTGTCTACTGCATGTGACCCTTCCTCCACTAATGCCATGGGTACAATGCCGCACCTTGGGACCTTTTTACAGATTTAGAGACAGATTTTAGGCAGAAGTAGTTTGCAAATGCAGAGTCAATTTCATTAACTTTGGGCCAACCCCTATTTATATAAGCCTCTCTTTAGTACTTAGTTTCTGTAATGAGTCATAGAAGTTATTAATTCAACCTTTTATAGCGTAAATCTTAGCATACAGCAAAAAAATAAAAATAAAAATTCCCAGTAGTGCAAAGAAAATGTCCCCACGAAACCCCAAAAAAGAACAATAAGTCAATATAGTAATTATCGTAACAGGCCTAGAAATACTATAGATAGCATTTAACATGGTTGTTTTGAAGGTTAGTAAATGCAAAATGAAGACATTAGCCTATATCGTTCATAATAGAAAAAAAAATAAAAATAAAATTGCAGTATTCATTCCAACAAGGGAATATTATAACACTTGATATTTAATTTTGGTGGAATCATTTGAAGTAATCTTGAAGATGGACTAAAAAATTATTGAAAAACATGCCTTCTTACAGTGAGCAGACTTGCCTTTTATCAAATCTAGCATATAATTCTTGACAAAAACACCTACCCCCATAGCAGCGTCCACCTATTTACAGTACAGTTTTCCTTTTAAGTATTACCCCATTTTTGCATAGGAACAGATAGTGTTTCTTCTGAAAAACACATTTCAACTAAAACACATTCTCTGAATAGCTGCTAATTGGATATTTCCACAAGCCCATGCCTGACTTAGAAATCTCTAGTCACCAGACACTTGTAAAGGGTTGTGTTGCAGTTACTTCCAGGTAATGTGATATTAATAAGTCACAGCTGTCAGACAGAAACTACTATTTCACATATCATTCATAGTTTAGGCACATTCTTGAGAGGGAGTGCTTACCCGCGCATCGTACTCCAAGACAAAAGGAGGGATGTCAATCTGCTCAGGCCTGATGCAAGTGAAGAGCTGCTGCAGGTTGTCAAGGTAACGCACCTTCTCTTTGATCCCCGAAATGCTGAATGTGGTGAAAAACCAAGTAGAAACCTGCATACATCAAACACATGTAACCTAATTCAATTAGGTATCATCAGAGGTTAATGATAATTAGAGTTAGTATGGCATTAAATATATGCTCCTTGTATTTGCTCAAAAATACCCTGAAAAACAGTTTACTGTGTGCAGGGTTGCCTCTCCACAGACTGGACCTGTAACTTGGCCAGGTGACTTGACGTCTCAGAGGTAGATACGAGTAATGCCACACTGTGGAACATTCTAAGTAAAGGCATAAGTGGGTATGATATACACTTCACCATTAAAGTTACGCAGTGCACTTTAATGGTTAATTATCTTTTTTTTTAAATGTTTGACCCTGTTGAGCCAATTTTAGCCAATTTAAGTTTAGTTTTTTTTAAAAAGCTTATTCTGAAATGTAGATACCTGACCTTATAGAAAACAATGCTCATAGCTATTTGTGCTATGCTGCTTTAGTTAATCTAATATTTATTCTGTTGTTTTTAGAGTAAATATTGATTAAGTGCTCTAGGGCTGTACTGTTGCTGGTTCCATTACATCATTAATCAGTGAAAATACACAGGAACTCACCTTGGAGCGAAACGATGGATGCACAAAATAAAAGGCCTTAAGATTTTTCTTATACCTATAAAAGAAAAGAGAAGTGTAAACACACACGATACAAATAAATTACTTTATTAAAAAACCAAAGGCAAAAACAGCCAATGAAGAGCAGAGGTCATTTAGCTCAAGCCCATAGTAAAAGACACGAGGGATATCCTGACCTGGAAATTGGGTCAAAATGTGCACTTGAGATAAAAACTATTAGCGTGGACATTTGTTTATAGTGGAAGATTCCCAATGTGTGATATTGTTATTCGACTAACAGTAGTGAAAAACTTTCAGACAGACAAAACATGAGAAAGTTTTCTGGTTTAATGTTCATCCAAAATAACAGTTTTCTTTGGAGTGACTTAAAACAAACTATTGATTTTGGAATGATTCTAAATCACTACAAGATGTTACAAGATTGATTTAACATTAGAATAAATTGCTACGGACAATTACATCTGATGACTGATATTTTTATCCATCATGAATACAATTATTGCAGATATGGCAGATACAGATGACTGTATCCCTGAACTTTTACTCGCTTAATTACAAAAAAAGTTAAAATCAATTTCTGCAAAAAAGTTATACAAACTTTCTTACAGACTTTTTGGTCAGGACAGTATATGTTTTAATGTTTGTATTGTATTTTGAAAAATTTTATCCAATACTCCGTGACCCAATTAAGGAAGCAGAGAAGCAGAATTGTTATTACCACAGAGACTTACTTGGTCTTGTGGGATGTGAGCGGAACTGCAGAGTAAATATTGTATTGGCTTTGTACGACAGGCTAAATTAATTTGACAGTTCATTTCACACAGGTCAAAGAGACAAGACTGTTTATCTGAGAGACAACTCTTTGCTCAGTACACAGCACACCTCCTGTGTCTATCAGAGCATACAGAGACTGTAACGAGAGACTGTGGAAAAATGTGTCTAAAATGTGATTTAGCTAGGAAATTAAATCATTCAGAATTAAATTATCAAGAAAATCCTTTAGAAACCTAGGCAACAAACATCAACTTTTCTCTACTGTCATATTCTGCTTAAAGCAACACTGTAACTTTCTGGCATGTCACCTGCATGATTCCATAATAGTACGTTAGAAACCATACTTGGGAACATTCTCCATGGAGATAAATAAGTTTTATGCTATACTGTAAAAGATTATAGCTGAAGGAACAACATGTCCATGGAAAAAAGCAGAAGTCCATCCTTCAGGTCAAATAAGAGTTTTTAAAGGATAGTTACACGGTGGGGCTATATTGTTTATATACTAAAACTAAATGAATGACACAGATACTGATTTCTGTTTGACAGTATTGTTGCATTTAAACAGTTTAATATATGGCTTTCATATACGTTGAAAGCATTTATTTCTCAACAAACTGTACAGTGTATCAGGTCTGCAAGACACATGCATTTATTTTGCCTATTTAATAATCAGATTTACTTTTAGTATGCAATGTAATATAAAGCTCAGTGGGTTTGCAGATGTCCAACTTCAATGGCAGTGCTTATTTACTTACAACTGCAACTGGATTTTCTTTCATCAAAATCTGTCTTCGTTGTGTCTCTTTGAGTGAGAGTCATGACAAACTCTGCTGTTAAACCAGAGCCTTTTGGAAACTCTGTGTGATTTCTGCCATTGGTTGCTTTGGTTAGATGCTTGGAGCCAAACTTCATCTGTGGTAAAACAAGATGTTGATTTGGCAAACACACTGAACAAGTCTTTCAAGCTGCGGCACCATCTCACATATCTAAGCTATGACCTAAACCAGTACAAAGCCACTGCGACCATGAGGAACTAAAGAAAACATTTTATGAATTGTTAGATAACATTTATTAGAAAATATTACACATCTAGTAAATGTTTTTGAAGTCGTGTCGCCACGGAACTGACATTTCCAGTTAATTAAAGTAGTAAGGAAAAACTAGATCATAACAAATAATGATTAACAACCACTATGTCCCATTGATTCTCATTAATAGAAGAGACTATGGTGGCACAGAGTAAAAAAAAAGGTCCCATACAGTCTTAAAACAAACTGGGCGATATATGTTAGTAAAGCATAATCACCCTTGGTTTGTAAGTAACTATTCTACAAGACACACTATGTAACTTATTGGCAAAAAAAGACAAAAAGAAACCTGGCCTGGTTGGCCTGTTTGGTGTTGTATATTGCACTGAAAAACATCCTTAGACTGAGAGGGCTTGCATTTCCACAAGCATGGCTTTTATTTGGCCTGGAAGAGAGAATGTTGTTCCTTTGGCTATAATGTTCCACACTATGGCACAAAAATATTAATGGAAAAAAAAAAGAAGTACCTATGGAATCGTACAGATGACATGCCACACTCAGAAACTTAAATACTGTACCTTTAAAAAACAATAACAAAAATAGAATTATTAATATAATAATGATCTGTGTAGCCAACAAAACCTATGGAAAATACTGATGTCCTGCCCTAACTCTTCTACAAGCCCCAGTTTTATTTATTTCTCCACTACAGTAATTTATCACTGACTGTTTTCATCGAGTGCACAGTGGTATAACAGTGAGTCAGCCGTTTGGGTGTCAGATGGAACGTTCACACATCTGGTGCCACTGGGGTCAACAACAGCACCAACTGTCAACAACAAACAGCAACAAAATCTGAGGAGTATTTTATAAAAACTTCCTTCAGTCATTCCAATAATTTTCACCAAAATACTTTTCAGAGAGGCACCAATCCAGCTTTTTCAGTTTCGATACCAATGTTGATGCTTTAACTTCAAGTACCCGCCTGAACAGCTTCATATGAAGGAAAGTTCAAACATTACGGGATGTTCTGGGCCAAAATCAGCCTGTAAATGGCTAGGCTGAATAGATGTCCAGCTACTGAAATTTGAGACATTTCTTCACGTCATTTATGCACTCACCTGCATTTAACGCATGCGGGTCATTAAGACATATCACACTCACTAATGTTTATTTAGCATTATAACTTATTTTATCACATGGCGATAAACTGTTTTAGTGCTCTGACAACAGCACTAGCTAGCATTGCAGCTTCATGTTAACCACACAGACAGCGGTGCTTCTGAACCGCGCACATCCGCTGTGTTGGAAAACAATAATCCGTCTATACAATTAAACTAAAGTTAATGTGACAAACTGAGGAAAAAAGCATTTTTTGGAGAACAAATTAAACTGAAAGGACATGATATTACTTTTAAAATTCTCACAGATATTTTTTTGTTTTTTGTTATTTTTTTTAGATTGATTTGTCCAGTTTTTGTCTGCACAGTTCTTGTCCAACCTAAAAAAAACCCCAACAAAATACAAAACAAAATACAAAAATACAAAAAGAACTGCCAAGTATAGTTTCTGATCATCAGACATTTGTAACATACAATGATGGCAGCAGACAGGTGAAACTAACCCACATCAGAAAAGTACCATAATGACTTTCAGGTCAAGGATTTCCACTTCACACAGGAAGCTCCTTTGAAATCGGAAGTATAGTACACATTTTTACTGAATACAACATAAGTTAAAATAAATGCCTTTTGTCCTGTAAAAATCTTGGACTGAAATAAATTTTAAAACCAGTCTGTGAAAAATCCACTGTTTGCATGAATTTATTCTTTGAATGGTGCTTGATGTTTGTGTTGTTGACGACATCTTTTTGACATATCCATGCGTCTATATCCGCATAAGAATAAAGAACACTGTACAACTTTGGAGTCAAAACTTGGCTTTTGAAAAGGTTGAACGTGGTATTTATAACAGTTTCACTCAAGCACCACAGTCATAGTTTACTGACTTGGTTTATACTTCTGCCTTAGACAAAGTTAGAAGAGCAAAGAAGGTCATACAAAGGACAACTGTGGGACACACCAAGTGAACTTGGATGACATGGCTTCAAAACAAATCAAGTATGAGGAATTAGGAATCAATAAGTTTATACAGTACAATGTCAGGAAGCAGTCAAGAGTTATAACACATCTGGAGGTATTTCTGAGTATGTGAGTATTTTTCTACGTTAAAACAAAACAGACCCACAACCATCTTGTACATTTGATTTTCAGATCTGGACACTACAGACCGGACATGCATCCAAGCCAACTGAGTTATCCAAATCACATTAATACTTTTGAAAACTTAGGTCACGTAGTGAGTTACAGACGATGCCCTGCAGTGTAGTACAACAGCAATAGTCAAAGGCTGGTTGTCTGTTTCACAAACTGAGGCAAATAGGAAAAAAGCATCAAGCCATATGGTCCTATTTGAAACTCATTTACAAGGCTTTGATGTGACATGATAGAAAGCTTTGCTGGTTTTCTGGTTTGTGTCGAAAGATGTTCACGGCACTAACATTGGCACTGTAGTGATTGTATTGAATGGCAGGTGGGAAAGGGATTCTTGACGGTCTTTTGTTCAAACAGGTTTCAACCAAGTACCTCCTTTGTAGTTGCTTATTTAAGAAAAACTGATGAGATTCTACTGTGTTATGATGTCATACTCCCAGATGGGTGGCTGTTTTTGCTATTGATTGTGTGGTGTTTTGATATGAAAGATCCAGAAGGAAAATGTGCAAATCATTCTTTATGTTGTTAACTACACTACAGCATTATAGAATATAAATTGCTTTGATGTCATTTGAAATTCAACATATTACATAGTTTGGTCATAACAATGTTAAAAACTGAAAATAATTAGTTTTAGTGATTAAAGTCCATGATCCCACTACTAACCAAACTGTAAACCCTAACATCAACCACATGTTTTCTTGTCCCAAGGCCTGTCACGATAACAAATTAGGTATAGATGATAAATAATCATATTGAAACTCCCAAGAGCAGATTTAAGCCACAAGAACAATTCTAAATCTACAGCACTGACAAAAAATCATGAGCTGCAATAAATAGATAGAATAATGAAACACTTTAGTACTTAGTTTGCATCTTTAACGAGTCATAGAAGTTATTAATTCAACCTTTTACGACTTAAATCTTATCACATAGCCAAAAAATAACCACAAATTTCCCAGTAGAAAAACCACACGAAATATTGACTCCAAAAAATATTATTCCAGCTTTCATATACTGAGTCGATATAGTGATTATCACGACAGGCTTACTTGTACCCCATCTCTATAGATCTAGAATCTAGACACACATCAAATGCATATTAAAACAAATATTCCGCCATAACAGAGTAATGTAAAACAAAAAGTACAACTTAAAGTATAAAGAAATTCACATGCGTACACAACACAAGAGTTTTTCCAAGACTATTCCCTTTAAAATAGATGAAAGAGAAATTAGTTTGGGCTTTTGACGATTTCAATAAATCAAAAATCAATAAACATCAGACAGCAGGAATTTTCCTTAGTTAAAGTTAAAATGTGACTCACTTGGCATCCACAATATCGTAGAGGTTCTTGAGGAAGTCTGAGTCCAGGTGGTTGTGCTCAGCGGTCAGTGTGTGGAAGTAAACCATCACATACTCCTTTGCAGTGATGTGGTCCATGACGTGGATGAAGTACAGTAAGGCCTATGGACACACACACAAGGTTACAATAAACTCTATATAAAGTCAATATAAACAGGAACACTATGTAAATTTTCTGGTGGGGTCCTTCATCTGCTTGTTTCCATAGAGATTTGATTTACCTTCTCAATGTCTATGAGATTCACAGGTATGTTTCGTCCAACCAAGACCATGACTGTCCTGCCGCATAGATCCACACCTGGGACACACATAAGGCTCAAGTCAAAAACAGACAGAAATGTGATAAATAATAATAAAATCAGTAAAAATAACAGACTTTTGAAGAGGTTCTCTAAGGTAAAATATGCTTGTGGCATGGAAAAATATATTTATCATAATTTTAAAATGTACATGTTTTCTGAACATGAATTGGTAGTGAGTGAAAGTATGTAAGTAAGTCTTTATTTATATAGCGCTTTTCACAGACATATGTCACAAAGACGGTTTACAGAGCATTTTTCAAAGATTCATTATTATTTTTCTCCATACCGGGTGGTTTTAATCTACTATTGTAGCTACAGCTGCCCTGGGGCATACTGACGGAAGCGCGGCTGCCATGTCAATTGGCGCCATCAGACACTCCGACCACCACCATCACTCACGCACACACCACTTACATACAAGGCAATGTGGGTGAAGTGTCTTGCCTAAGGACACAATGGCGGTTTTTGTGACTGGCGCCTCCCTGTGGCACCTGATTTTCCCAGCGATCTCCCATCTAACCAGGCCCGGCCTTGCTTAGCTTCTGAGATCTGACGGGATCAGGCTTTGACAAGTCGGTATGGCCACTTAACTAGATGACTTAACTATGGCCATGTAACTAGAGTTCTCCTCTGCTCAACAGGTTTACTAATGACTGACAATGATGACAAATGACAAAAATACTATTAAAATTTTTCTTGTATTGACTGGTCACAATATTCAATTGTAATATTCTAATTTTTAAAAAGGCTTTCAATATAATTTTCATAAACATAAACGTGAATTTCTCCTTAGTCTGAACCACGTTTTTAGCGACAGGACTGGCCATAGACTTCTCAAATAAAAAGACCCAAGCTGATAACTGAAATGAAATGCATCTCGATTTGATTAAAATGTGATTAATTGCACCGCCCTAACATTACGAGTCCTTTTTTGAATGTAACGCTACAGTTGTAAGCACAATGTCCCATGATGAGACTTGGAGCCACATCTCCAGAGTGTGTGTTGATCTGTATTTTCTGTTTGTTTTCTGTGGGACATGTGAGATTCTTCTGAGGCCTGTGCTTTGTTTTAATGCTATCCTCTGAGTCCAAGTCGTGGTTTTGGATTCTACTTTTGTCCTCGCTCAAAAAGTCAAGTCTGTCAGTTCTGTAGCAGAACTATGAACAGAAACAGGCTGAGATAACAGAACCCATCACTTACATCATTCCTTATACAATAGTGTTTTGTATTTGACCATTGGTTTAAAAATAAGTGAGGAGTTTAGTGAAGCCATTAAGTAAAAGTTAAATTTATAAAGCACTAAAATGCCAACTTTAATCATCTCTTAAAGAGGGCTTTTCAAAAGTGTTACATAAACCTAAAATTTAAAAGTACAGTATTTGACATGTGAAAGGTTATCTGAGGTCATGGCATGGGAACTCAAATATGCTCTCAACTCCTCTGTGACCCACACAGGCAGAATCCACTTGGCAACACTGCCACTTAGTGGCTAAAAGGATGAATTACATACATGAAAAATAAAGGAAAGATACGTTTTTAATTTACTTTACCCTTAAAATATATTTAAAATTTTGTAAAAAAAGAAAAAGAGTTTGCACCCCACTGCCCACTCCTCGTACCAGTCTGATATAAGGCTTTTAGGGCAGCAATGTCTGACAGATCTTCTGCTCGTGCTCGACACAACCAACGATTGTAACTGAAAGAATAATAAAAATATTGAAATGCTTAATAAATAAATGGAAAGAAAGTTATGTAATGATGTGCCCATACTTCCTCTGGTGCTGTTTCTGCGGCTGCCTCAGACATCTGGCCCTGAAGGATGAGTTTTCGCTGTTTGTCGACATCACCCTCCATCCGAGCGAATGCGTGGGTCCCCACCTGCCCCAAATCCACCTCCAGACTCTCCTCGCCATCCTCAGAGTCCTCTGCACAGTACCCAGGCAAGAAAGAAAACAGTCAGACTCAGTCAGACATGACAGGGCTGCAAGTGCTGAACTAAGACATTCCTTATGACATAGGCATATTAATGATAATACAATAGAAAAAGGTATTACAGTTACTTACATTTACAGAAACAACCTATTTTGAGGCAACAATCTTTGTGTATTTACTCAAAATGTGTGAACAAATGTGGATATTCGTTTCTGGCTGATTCTCCATCTCCATATATACAACAGTGAGATGTGTGCATATGTTTTAATCTACATTCAAACAGCATGTGCACTGACCCATCCTTTCTTTTCCTTATGTAAAAAGTTTGTTTGGTTTGGATCACTCCAAGAAGCTACATCTCATGCCTTTGAAGCCTCAGGCCAGAAAACAGCCAGCCAGAGGTCCCCGAAAGCAACAAGCTCCACGCATAAACTGCAAATAAAATAGTCAACTCTGCTTGGTGTGACTTCAAAACCAAAACAATTATCAACAGAATAAATTATACAAAAAATACAGGATTAATTAAAAGTGCACTTTTAAACTTTTCAGTAAAAGGTTCGCCAGCTGCTTGTTTCCAAAAATATATTACTTTGCCACGAATTTTCCACTGTGTGAAATTAAACTTGTCCATCTTGGATTTACAGGTGTTTGTGTGAAAGCAGATTGACCAGTCTGTTCACTGTTTCACAAAAGATCCAAATGTACATGGCAGCCTGTTTAATTATTGTGTTTATTTATAGTTTTACAAAGAGATGATAGAAAGTTACATAACTAGTCAAGTTACACAACTAGGTAAAATATGCCATAAAAAGTACTTTTTTAGAAGAATGTTATGCCCTTGGAATACCTTGAAAACCACATTTGTCAACAGAATTAACAAAATTCTGTGGTTAGAGAGAATTGTGAAATGCGAAGAGAAAAACTAGCAGTTCTTGCAGCTTGATCAAAATTTTACTTCATATAACATACCACTTTTGTAAATCTTTTTCTTTAAATATTCATTTTAAATGCTTAGAATATCAGCAACACTCAAACTGATCTAAAAAAAGAAAAGGTGGAAGTAGTTGCTAGTAGAGTGCCCCCATTGTCCCCATGTTTGTGCCGCCATTATCGTTCCAACTGTATGATTTTGCAAAGAGCTGTCAATCTCAGCAGTGTACAGGTTCTACACACACTACAAAACTGTTTTTAAGCCACCCAGAGAAAGGGTGCATTGTTGACTTGTTGGCGTATGTAACATAACCATTAATTAATCAATCATAGGATTTATCCTTCAAGATACTCAAAGTAGTTTACAGTGCAACATTCATTCACTCTACACTTGGTGGTGGTAACCTACTATTGTAGTCACAGCAGCCCTGGGGCAGACTGACAAAAGCGAGGCTGCCAATCTGCTCCATTGGCCCCTCAGTCTACCACCAACACATGTGCCACATTAATACTAGGCAATGTGGGTGTGGGTGATGTGTCTTGCCTAAGAACACAATAGTTTTTGCCACAGGCACCCCACTGTGGCTCACAGCGGTCTCCCTTCCCAATACTAACCAGGCCCGGCCAATATTGAATACAACACAAAAATTAAATTAGATTATATTTCATAATTTTTCTTCCTTGGAATAAATGAAGGATGTACCTTCTAAAGTGCCTGGTTTCTCTGTGATTCGAATCTGCCTCTCTGGTACGACAGGTTCACCCTCTGAGTTGCCGATATCAGCAGGAATAAGGGGCAGGAAGGCCCTCTCCTCATCTTCAGAACGAGGGTAGTACAAGGGCAGCAGCTTTCTGTACACCACCTACACAACAGCACCAAGCAGACCAAAATGTGCTTAGAATATGCACGTTTTGTTTCAAGTGCAAAATAAAAAAAAAATAAAAAATTCTGCTGGAAGTCCCCAGAGCCAGGCTCAAACACTGGGGTGATCTGGCTTTCTCTGACGCTGGCCCCTGACTCTGGAACAAACTGCTCCAGATATGCTTTGCACCATCACAGACTTTGACCTCTTTAAATCCAGGCTCAAAACATCTATTCATATTAGACTGGCTTTTAACACTCAGTAATGCAGGGACACTTTGCACAATATGTTTTATTTCATTGTTTATTGTTTTGCATATTTTTATACTATTGATAGATTTTTATTAAAAAGCACTTTGGGCACCTTGATTGTTGTAAAGAGCTCTGCAAAAAAAGATTGATTACAACAGTGATGCTTTTGGAACAAAGCATCGCCTCAATAAAATATTAATACTCAAGAATATAAATTGTGATTAATACACTGTCTGTTTGAACTGGGCATGCTCAACTGTAATTATATGTAGAGATGATATTTATCTCGTCTGGCAGTAAAATTTGCATACATATTGAAATAAGCAGAATTAGAGAAGAATGGTGAAAGATTTGATGAATAAAATGAACTAAACTTGTACTAACCTCCTCAGACTCTGAAACAGCAAATACCACAGTCTCAATACTGTTCCCATGGTTCTCCAGAAACCTCCGTACTGTCCCTAAAACAGAATAAAACACAATAATGTAATACAAAAATGTAAAAGTAACACCGATACCATACTATTATATTATTATGGCATTTTAGTTTTAGTGTGTTTTTGCAACAAATTTTCAGTAATCTTTTCCTTTTGCTTGAGGCGACCGATTTGTTCAAAAAATACTTTCCAAGTGAATGTAATGAAAATATTGTTCTAGTTAAAACAAGGTGATTTCAAGTTCAAAGATGACCTAATAGGATGTTAACAAAAAACCCAGATGTACTAAAATATGATTATCTTACGTTAACATAATATTAACAAGCAATTTATTTTGACTTGAACCTGAAATCAGGAACACAGTGTCTCTGTTTGTCAAATAATAAGTTTATTTGATTAGATGACAAAGTAATTTGTCAATTGTCATGTGATTTGGCAATCAAGCACCAAACTAGGAGCAGGCATTGGGGACATGCTTCATTATGAAGTATTCAATGTGGGGAATGAGCTCATGAAACATGTCCCGGTTAAATAAATAGAAAACCCATCAGGATTTTGGGATGGAAATTCTACGTAAAAGCAATACATTAGTGCCAATATCAGTATTGGAGGATATACATTTGGTTGATACTTGTTCATAGCTGCCACTGTCAGTGTGTGCTCATGTGTGAACCACAGTTTGTCCTCAGACCAGTTCAGTTATGTCTGAAATCAAATCCATATCGAACTATTCCTAATATGTGTTCCATATATCTGTTGGTATATAGCATTACAGTTCAGTGAGTTTATATGAGGCAGAGATTAGGTCTGAATGTGTGTTTGAATGGAGCACTTACTCAGAGCTATGTGCGTCGCATCCTCCAGTGGGTAACCTCTTTTGGTTGTACTGACCACACAAAAACCTACAGATGCCATGGACTGCTCACTGCAAAAATAATATGAATTCAAATACATACAGTACATTATAAATAGTTATGAAATGTTTCTTGCAAATAAAACACATGTGATCAATGAATTACGGTTTGTCTTTCAAATTTACCTTTAATCAGATTATTTTGTCTATCAAAGACATGTTTAATCTAGGTAGTATTGTTGTTAAACTAAAGATGATTTTGATGTTAACAAAACTCATGTGTGATCCAGAAATCATGGCATTTTATTATAATTCCTCTGAGAAAGCCCACTGTGATTTGGCTACTTTCACCTGTCAAGGAAAGGTTGTTGATCAAAGTAATTTTTTATCTGGGAAAAACATGTAGAAATATAACATCTACTTTGTTTTGATAATTTAGCTCCTAAAAATAATGCTTTGGGAATGACAGGACAAAAGAAGATGTCCTCTTACGCAGCCAGTTGCATGATGTTCCTATAACAGCTGTAGAGAGAGCTCTCGGCTGCCGTCCTGTATTTGGCCTTGTACTTAGGCCCCACTGTGTGAATGATGAACCGCGCTGCCAGGTTAAAGCCTTCGGTGAGTTTGGCTTCTCCTGTTCGGCATCCTGAAAACACATTTAACACAATATCTAGATAAATACTTTTTCAGTATTGCATTGATTTTTAAATATATATCATGCATCATTTTGCTTATGATGATAGCAGTAATAACAATGTGTATTAAGCCCAATTTAAAAATCACTTTGTAACTTTTCTGGTGGAGAGTTGGCCACTTGCTTGTCTCTAAAGTGAGATTAAAGATTTGGCTTGAATATTCTATAGTAATTTATCTCCATAGAGACAAGCAGGTGATACCACCAGGCCAAAGATACAAGTAAAATCTATGGAGAGGTGACTCAGTTCACAGTGAGAATACATATTTTTCAAGATATTGTTTAGCTCTAAAACACCTGTAACTGATGGAGATGTTTAATGCCATACTGTGGAACATTTCAAGAAAAGCAAAAAAGTTACAGAATGGACATTTAAAAGTTTCCTTAATAAGTGAATTTCTCTGCTGAGAAGATTACCATTAGTTTATTAAGTTTTACTAGCTGTTCTTATTGTTTACTAAAACATAATTGTCAGTATTTTAATTCACTATAAAGACAAATCTGCGGATTTATGTAGGTGGTATCATGTTGTTTACCTTTGAGTTTGAAAAGGTCCTCTTTCAGCTCTGGTCCTGCCAAATGGTGGATCATGTCAGACACTGGGTTCTTGTCACTTAGAGATTCGTTGCTGGTGTTCACAATGGCTGTGCAGTTTAACAAGGCCACATCTCCAACACTGAAGAGGCAAAATACAATAAAACAATATTATCTTTTAAGCTTTTCACAGTTGCTGAACATAAAATTGAGTCAGCTTGATCACATTGCCATAAGATGTCAGTAAAACATTAAAGATGAATGGAATTCTAGTTACACATAGCTAGTGAACTAGATTTTATTTTTACCTTCTGAATCTGAACAAAGAAATATCCCTTGTAATCTGTTATTTATTTTAGAATAAAACATGGCAGCCAAAGTAGGTGAAACGGATGTGTAATGAGTCAGCCTCGAACATGTCTATCTTGTCTCAACACAAAATCATTGTCAGAAGGCCAGAATTTTCCATGAATCACTGCTGGAAAACTACAAGAGTTAGTTGAGCCCCAGGGAATGTAATAAACACAAATTTGATCCAGCGTCTCATTTGCACTGTACTACTATAAAACCACGCAGTGGAAATGCTACAAGTTAACTACACTTCCTCAATAGTCATCAGTTTGAGCTTCCTGTTATAGGCGTAATTTTGAGGACTTTTGACTAAAATAATTTCTTATGCTGTTCCTTATGCTGAAACCCATGGATAGCCAGCCCTACGACCTTACATGCCCAAGTGGACCTCAGGAGTTGCATTAATGGACCACACACATTTACAGCAAATCAAAGCCTGCCTGGAGGGTTAGTATTAGCCCAAATACTTCAGCCGTACTTTATTGATTGAGCGAAGTTGTTTTATCACTCCCAGCCTTTTCTGCATATTTGGAAAGAACAATGAGGAACTGCTCTAGTATGTATTGAAAGCATTTGGTCACAAGACTGATCCTGTCTCCAGAATCTAAACGTGTTTTTCTTCACCCCTAAAAGATCACAGGCCAAAGCTAACAGGGCTAGCTCAAAATAACAGTCTCTGAAGCATGTTTTGGCAATGAGTGCATCGGCGAAAGACCCTAATATCCACTGTAATTCGGAAAATCTAGAGAAATATTTCACCACAGAACTATAAACAAACCTTCAGTAATATAGTATCAGATTTTTTCACACACAAGGTTTGACTGCCATGGTCAATTAATGGCAAAGTTTCAGTGAATTAAAAGTACAGTATTAGCTGAGACATATAAACTAATAAATACTTTGATACAACAGTAATAAAAGATAAGTTAGATAAACACATATGGTGTTAGATAAACACATATGGTGTTAGATAAATACATGTCATCAAGCTCCTCACAGCTCACAGGAGGGCTGCAAATTTCAAAAATGGTAGTCAGAAATCCAGTTAATTAGCTTCTCTTCTAACTAATATCTGCCATCATTCAGCCAAACAAAACTATTAAGTGATAATATGTCTGTAGGTTAACTTTTCACATGATACAAGTAATAATTGTGATTTTAATTAGAATCTATTATAATATAATAATTAATATAATGTTTGCCTTGATAGAGCAGCCCTAGTGCATGGTACAGTACACATTATACTAGGATTTCTGTTTGATTGTCCATCATGAAAGTCATGAACAGTTTAATAGTCCAAGCTGAATACAGTATGTGCTACTGTTTTTAAGCCCGAGGGTTCCTTGGGCAGTAGAATGTGAGCTCCCACTGAACGTTCTGCAAAAACAACAAGACATTTACACAGAACTGCAGCAGCCAGTCATGTGCTTGGTCACAATGAGGATTTAAGAAGAGATCTGTACTCTGCTCCATCTGAAGTTGAAGTCAAACACAGTGAAGGCCAGTGCTGCTTACACACACATGTGAATCTTAGGGCTGTAACTAGCATCAATGTGCCACATGCTATTTGTTGCCCACTCAACTCTACTGCATCAAAAAGGAAATTGTTCAAATTTAACTTGCAACTTATAATAAAAGCAATAAAAACAATAAGGGATTAAAAAGTCTTTGTATTTTTGTGCCAGTCTAATATCATGATGATTGGAAAGGTTAGTATCAAAAAGACTACAATAATAAAAAATAATAACAATTCCAAAAGTAGATATAAAAGGCTTGCTTGTCTTGCTATGACCCTGCGCAATTTGAACCGTATGGCTATGCATTAATAGGGGGCCATTAATAGAACATTATATACATTATCAGCAATTAAGTAAATTCAATTGGACTTACTGGAGGATAATCTTGCGGTTGATTTCTGGAGTAAAGGGGAACGGTGAGGGGAAAGCCTGCTGACTGTCGAGGCTGTCGCTGTGTTCTTGTATAAACTGCTGGTCATTCTCATTGATCTGCTGCTGCCACGTTGGGAGGGTCTGAACATCCAC